TGAGTATTGCATCCAAATACCATGTGCTTTCTCTTGCACGGTATTTGTTTTCAATTTCCCATTGAAGTTATACGACATCTTGCTCGAGGTAATCTCCTTCGCCGGAAACTTCTGGGCGCTCCAATTTTTCAATTGTTTTAATTTGTGAACTTGACATTTAATAATTGCAAGAGCGACAGCTGACAAGCTGTCGAGCTTTGAAGCCGGAACACAAAGGCGAATTTCATCAGTCAGAGTGATAAAGTATGAGATATGCACAAGTTCAAAAGCCTAGAAACTAAACAAAAAAGCAGAAAAACGGACAAAAAAAGCGCAAGAAAAAGTGTAACATGACGTGGGACAGAGGCCAGTTGCACATCTCGCCGCAAAAGAAACTGTATTATCGTGGATCTCCTCCCAGCCAGTTGAAAGAGCCGTCATGTTGACCAATAAGAGAAGAGACACAAGAGCTAAAACAGCTAAAAAGAAGATCCAGGAAGCAAAAGCTGCCACACAACATATGCAAAAAATGTAATTTGTCCATGCGGATGTGCATCGGTTTTCTGCATCAAAAAGGCCCCATCCCAGTAAAATAGCACCAACCCCCCTTCGAACCCCACCAATTTTCGACCATCGAGCCTATCATCCATGCCCGTGGCACAGATTTGTGAGCTAATTCTCCACTGGTCCGTCCATACAAATGCCGGTAATTTTTGCATGGCGAGCTCGGGCTATTCAGACCGTCGGACGTTTGCTGGTCCCTTACATCCACCCCGGCGGCACTGGCCAGGACTCCTTAGAGAACCCGTTTGTGTGGCCCGAGCGGGTGTAAAATCGAACTGGCGCTACCCCGCAGGATTTGTACTGCTGCACATATCAAACGAACAAGAAAAACAGTTAAGGATAAAAAAGGGGGATTTTCATAACTTCATAACTTCATTCTGAGGCGGACCTCCAGACTAATGCCAATGATCAGGAGTGGTCAAAAAGACTAAGCTAGACCCCACGTCTACCTCCCAACATGCAATAATCGAGTCTTGCAATTAAGTTCTGACATTTTGTCAGTGAGTTTGTGAGCTAGTGCGTCGTAATGGTTCATTCGCACTGCATGCGTAAAACAAAGGAAATGCGTACATTCGTCATCTTCGTTAACCCAGCATCTCAAAGAGCGCATACGGGCACCCCTGCCGCCATTAATGATGACGACCTACACCGCGTAGTAGCGCCTGTCCTCATAGGCGACAGGCGGCGGTGGCGCTCCAACTGGCGGAGGGGGCATAGCTCCCGCAGCGTACGGATTGCCGTCTTGATAGACGGGTCCGTAGGCTCGAGACAAATCTGGCGCTGAATTACGATACCCGTTAGTCCTGGCTTCTTGTCTTCTGCGTTGCTTCTCCATATGTTCCAAGTGCTTTCTTCGCCGCTCCTCTCTCTCGCTGTCAAAGTGATGGCACTCCTCACGCTGCTCTTTCGCTTCCTTCCACTCAGCCATGGCACCCTTGATTCCAAGAGCCGCCAATCCAACCGAAGCGGCATCCTTAACCAAAGCCTGTTGCTTCTTTCGATGTGCTACTTCCTTTGACATTTTACCTTCCTTAACTTCCTTGTGCCGTTTCTTGCGAGCTTCATTTGTCTTGTAGATATTGTGGGCAGCGTGGATGGTGGCCACCGTCGCGAGGCCGGCGGTGAGAAATTCCTTACCTCTGAGCTTGCTGCGTTTCTTATTCTCCTCCGAGCTGGAGTATCCATCCGAGCTACTACTGCGGCTACTACTGCGGCTACGGCCGCGGCCATTGCGGACTCTGCGATCATTGGCATAGAGATCGCGATCACTACACGAAAACGGTCAATTCGCGGCTCCACTTCAACGCAAGATGCTTATACAACGTACCCATCGATACTGCGAGTCCTGTGAGACCGACGACGCGGCGGACTGCGGCTGCTTTCGCTTCCGCTGCTGTATGAGCTGCGACGGCCACGGGACTTGCTTCGAGCACGATCGTAAAGCTTCTTGCCTGCAGCGGCGACGGCGCCTCCAGCCAAAAGATCTCTGAGGCCACCACCACGCGAGCCGCTTCGGCCGCGGGAAGAGTAGCGGTCTCCCGATTGGCTCCGTCCGCGTCCTCTTGACCGAGATCGCTCTCCATTGATGAGCCGGTTGGCACCCAAGCCACCAATGACTGCTTCCGCAATGTGGCGTTTACTGTGACGCTCGGGGTCTCGGTCAACTAGACCATCGACGCCGCCTGCGCCAATGGCTGCAGTCAGGACTCTACGACCTTTGTCTCCAGTCCAAGGCCCAGCCTCTTTGCGGCTCCTAAATGCTTCGATCGCACCAGCTGTGACTGCTGCTTTGACGGCTTGTTCAATCTTCTCGTTCCTCTCGACACTTCGGCCACGGTGACGACCGTGTCTGTCATCATAGTCGTCATAATGGTCATGACGGCTGCCACCTCTGTGTTTTGACGCAGCACCAAGCGCGCCGCCAAGGCCAACTGCTTCCAGGACCTTTTCACCGGTTGACTTGCGTCGCTCCGGGCGAGGTCTGCCAGAACGACCATCATCATAGTCGTAGTCGTCACGTTCTTCCCGCTTTCTGGATTTACTGCGGGTATATTGTCTCAGAGCATAATCACCTGCCGCGGCTCCAGCAATACCAAGGGCAGCAGTGGCAAGTTTGTTTCTTGAGCGAGACCGCTTTTCGCCGTCACGACGATCCCACAATTCTTTTGCTCCAATAGCAAGCGCTGCACCTGCACCTGCGGCTGCAAACTCCTGAGCCCGGGAAGGAGATCGTCGATGAGAGCCTTTTTCTTCGCGATGTTTCCGGCGACCACCCCTCTCTTCGAGTCCTCCTGTTGAGCGACGAGGATCATCGCTATAGTATGCAGAATAGTAGTCATCACCCCGTCGGCCTCGCTCCAGAGAATAAGCACGTCGAGAAGGGTATCCTTCTCTTACGGTGCGACGGCTATATTCAGTTCCTGGAGCAAAGTCTCGTTGGATCTCCTCAACGGAGAGGTCGCTCTCTTGACGAGGACGATGAACTAGTTCCAGCTGGCGATTCTGATACGGCGCATAAGGATCTTGGTAGACTGTTTCGTAGTATTCAGTTGCCGGGCGGCTATGACGATACCGCCGGTCGCCGTAATCATAAGAATATTCAGACATGATTCAGCTCAAGCGGTTGAGCCCGCGCCACAAGCGATGACGAATTTCTCAGCGATATGATGTAGATTTGAATCCGAGTGTTGCGAAGAGTGAAGAACACCGATAACAAAAGAATATCGCGTTGATTATTGTGTTTGGATGTTGCGTGACAAAAAAAAGAAGTTGAGAAAGAAATGACGTGAGCGCTGTGAGATATATATTAGGATAAGTAAGTCTGACGGGTGAGATGAATGAGGTGGGGGAAAGAGCAAGAAGCGGGATTGAGGGTGGGCTAATGTGATAAGCAATTGAAGGAACAGTCGGCCCTGCAGCCTGACGCAAGCCCCGGTGGAAAGTGAATGGGGAGTCTCGGAGTCAAGGGCCTGTTGACGAATAAGATCGAGCGAAGAACAGCAAGGAAGAGGACATCAGAGGGGTAATCATGTAATAATGATAGCAAAAAAGGATGAATGATGTGGCTTGTGAGCCCTTGACTGCGCCCAAGGAAAGCCCCAAATATATGCTGCTGTGCTCATATGTAGCGGGCCGAGTGTTCTCCAAACCGGTCAAATGAATTCATTTTGTGGCCTCTGGTTGGCGGCGAGGACTGATGACGACGGCGTGCATGAAACCGCGACCCAACCTCCTCCACTCAACTCCGAGTGGCCATTCACCAGCAACCAACCGACAGAGCAAAGACACATATGGGGCAGCCAAGAAATCTATCCCACAAGTCCCGTTTCGAAACCGTTCCAAGAGCTCACAGGAATTCCAGAACATGCTGATTACTGTTTCCTGATGCGATAAACTTGTAAATCATCAGCATGAAAATAAGCTGTCAAAACTAAGTCACTTGTTCCCCGGATCGCCTAAAGTTCGGGGTCCATATCTATTCTTTTCGTCTATGGCTGATTTCCCCTCCCACGGCGCTGTCACCGAGCACGTAAGAAAGAGAGCCGTGGGTCGTAACCGAGGGCCCGCGACTAGGGCGTCCCTATCCCTTGGTTCTGCTGTAACCATATGCGCTGAAATAGACAACTCGGAATTATAACCAGAGAATCAAAGTCATGCAACGCGTACATGCATCCTCAAAGACAATCAATGAAAAAGCATGTGCAGATGTGAAAACATCATGTGTGTCATTGTGACCTTTTCGATTTGCAACTTGATTTACGTCACGCAAAGAGTGTCCTGGCGAAGTTAGCCTAGCAAGACCATACTCCGTAAAGCCGTGCAATGTTACCGAGCATATTGATCTCATCCAATTGACCTTTGCCATTGCACTCTAGCGGTCTGCCAGCGCCATACTAATACATCTCTGAAAATATGTTGCCAATAACAATACTTGTGGGAAGCACTGTTGCTGGTGCTACCTTGACCGCCAAAGTGAGTGAGTTGAGATGGACTTTCATGATGACTAAGGGTGATCGGCTCCAAGATCGACGCACGTGTGAATAATCTCGTAGATAAGATCTTAATTTTATCACCATCAGATAAGTCTATCAACGTCATTACTGTCTTGTACTTTCCTTCCAGTCCCAAAACCCAAAACCACTTGCTTAGCTATATTGAATCTCGAATAGCTCTGTCAATGTCTAATACAAACACAGATATATTGCTGGTATGTACTTGCATAGTTTCTACGTCCCTCATGATTCACCGCTAACCCAATGCTATCATTCAGGCCGGCGCAATCGCAGCATTTACAGTCGATCTTCTCGTCTATCCGCTCGATACAATCAAGACCCGATTGCAGTCGCCCGACTACAAACGGCTATATACCAGCAACAATGGAGCAGTCAACAGGTCTGCCTTATTTCGCGGGGTCTATCAAGGCCTAGGAAGTGTCATTTTAGCTACTTTACCTTCATGTACGAAACTTCCACTTCGGCCTCGCTACCTTTCTTATCAAGTCAGATTGCTAACGCATTTCCTCGACGTTTGGTACACATGCAGCAGGAGCATTCTTCACTACATACGAAGGTGTCAAGTCCATTCTGAGCCAGCATAACCCATCAATATCCTCCTCATCGAGCTCCTCTGGCTCATCTCCGCTTCTTCCCCAAGCCGTCATCCATTCCCTGTCATCCGCCGTCGCCGAATCTGTCAGCTGCTTTATTCTTACACCCGCCGAGGTACTCAAGCAAAATGCGCAAATGGTATCCACATCTTCAGCATCTTCTTCTGCAGCAGCCACTTCATCAACGATATACTCCCGTATCAACTCAAATGCAACACTTCAAGCCCTACGACGCTTCAAGCGCCCTTCACAGCTATGGAGCGGGTACGGCGCGCTGGTTGCGCGTAATCTTCCGTTCACAGCCATGCAATTTCCCATGTTTGAGCATTTGAGAGACAGAATCAAGAAGTATAGATCCGATAATCATCTCGCCACAGGCACGTTGCTTGAAGCTGGTGTAATCACTGCCGTCAGTGCAGGAAGTGCAGGCTCTGTCGCTGCTGTAGTCACTACACCAATTGACGTGGTGAAGACACGCATCATGCTTGCTGCTGCCGCTGCAATTTCGTCTGGCGATACCGCGCCCGCTTCTCCAGATTCCCATCACCCGAATCATTACCATCACCAGCGGAAAGCAGAGATGCAAGCTTCTGGCAACAACCCTATCTTGCTTCGGCAGCAGGAGAAAGAAGCTCTGCAAAAGCATCATCAACAGAGACCTGGTGCCATAGCCATTGGAAAGGAGATTTTGCGCAGCGAGGGCATGCGTGGGCTATGGCGCGGAGGCGCTCTTCGTGGCGTCTGGACCGCGCTCGGTAGCGGGTTGTACTTGGGCGCCTACGAAAGTGGTCGGGTATGGCTCGGTGCTCGATCCAGTCTTGAGGGCGAGAAGATTGCATAGAAGACCTTTTAACAGTAGATGGGCGTTTGAAACACCTGATATATCAGCATTTTAATAACCTACCTAGTCTCATGCGGAAGCAGATAGGCTCATAGATACTATATTTGTAGAATAATTCTCTTTTTCCAGAGTTGGACCACGAAATAAGGATAGTACTGCATATATTTTGCACCCAACTAGACCGCCTGCTGTGCCACTTCTAATCTAACGGAAGAAAAGGTGATCTCGAAAGAGATTGAATAGTCTAATGCGCAAGTACCCTTGAGCCCGACAATCTCGAGACAAGATACTAAAAGGAAAAAAGAACAAGGTCTGCACTAAGCCTGCCCAGATCCCCGTAAATTTTTGAACTCTCGTTCTCGAGTGGCACACGGCGGGTTTATTAGGGAAAGTAGACAGTCAAGAAGCCAGCAACCTAGGTACCTATGTAGGTTAGGGATGAGCAAGCGGGACTAGTCGGCCTTTGAAAGAAAAAACGAAGGAAAAAAAAAATCGTCTCTTGACGAGCATATCAAACCAAGGATCATTAGAGATCCGCTGATCCGCTGAATCGCTAACCAAGACAACGGCATCACACAAATACCACGACTGCTAGAGTTTGCGAGGATGCGGTTGTAAGGGGAACGGAAAAAGAAAAGGTACAAATCAGAAGTAAAAAATCCAGGACGACGATGACGACCAGCTAGTGATGGAGATAATACATTGTCTGTAGAGACAAAGAGATACGTAGCTACTAACGCCATAGATAAAATGTAAAGAAGAGGGGGAAAAAATACATAGAGCAACCGACCACCATATCCATTTTTGTGCTGCGCAATGCCAAGTAGTAGATAAGATGGAAATAAGAGCTCCTGTGAGCGTCATTGGAATCCTGTTTCCCACTTTATATTTTGCCCCGATAAGCCATCATTTCAATCCGCTTTTTTTTTAAATGGAAATAAAAAAAAAGGAAAAACAATTACACAGTTGCGTAATCCTGACTAATACCGGTGACCATTCAGTCAAGAAGAAGAGAGCAGAAGAAAGAAAAAATAAACCCGTATTTGCATTTCTAGTCAGTTCTCCTTATTTGGCAACTCGCCAAGACCAGGTTGCCATCATGCAGATGCGTTGAATAACCTGGGTCATGCCCTTGCCCATGGCTTCATCTTCAATAAACTTCTTTGCGACGAACAACTTTGTTTTAGGGCTGAGTTCCTCGTTGCCAATTGGCTGCACATTATCGGGAAATTCGGGAGACCGACTGCCAAGATGCGAAGCAATAGCAATAGAGTAAATGACGTCGCGGTTTTCCAGCTCCTCGAGCAAATTTCGGCAAGCACTGAGGGTATTGGCAGAGGTGCCCTCGTCATCGCGCAAAGTCAAGAACTCGCCCATAAGACGCCAGAAATCACGCTCCTGCACGCGCTGTGGCTCATACGGTTGCGTGACCTTGGGGCCATCCTCAGTCAAACCAAGTGGGTTCTTCTCCAGCTTTTGCCAATTCAGGAGGTGCTCAAGGATGACCACTCGGCAAATGGTCTCTTGCAGGCCAATCACTTCAGGATCATAGGAGGCTGACTTGCCCTGCATGTCAGTAACATCGCTGGGGGCAGCGGAGCGACACATAGTTATCAAGTGCCAAACAATCCTTGCCTCAAACGTCGGCAGCGGCACCGAAGCACCTAGATCCTGGATGTGCGGAGAGCCGCTCTGAATACTTTCAATCAACTTTCCAAACATTTCGAACAAACGCTTGTCGCTCACTAATCGCGCAAGACCGTGCACCTGGAACCAGCGCGACTCCAAAAATCGGTCAATGGCTGGCGCATAGACAGTGGTGAAGAATTCCTTGATGCGGTCCACGGTGGCGGGGGCGAACTCGACTGCCGGCTGCTCGCCGGGAGGAGGTACGAGCGACGACGGAACGTCACCTCCGGCGGCAAGGAGGTCATCGATCTTAATAGGCTTTGCAGGCGTGTAAGCGATGCCCGTATTCATAGTCCAACCGTCACCAGACGGCTCTTGCATGGGAATGGGCTGGGGAGGGGTAGCGCCACCTCTCTGATTCTGCGTGTCGGTTGCAGCCGCCGAGTACGGGCTCGCACTGCCCAACACCCCCTTCAGGTCTGGACGATAACCACCGACGCTCTCATATCCCGTCGGCGGCACCTGGAGCGGTGGTGCCGAAGCTTCCAGTGCTGGATCAATCGCAGCCGCATAGTCGTAAGGCTCAACCGACGTCGCAGGAGAGCTGACTCCAGTAGGCAAAGCCGGTGCATAGGCGGCGCTCACGGCCGGAGCGTAGCCATGGGGTGGAGGCGCGTAAGGCGAGGGAGCAGGAGGCATCTGGGGCGCGACGGCCGCCGTCAATGCCGCCGACACCGTGCTCGGAGCAGGTTGGATAGCGGCGGGACCAGGCTGGCTCTTGAAAATGGGATCGTAGCCCAAACATTCGCGCTTGCTCTTTTGACAGTTTCGGCAGGTGGGATGAGCTTCGTCACACTAGAAGAACAGGGTATCTCAGTCAGCGATTTGTAAAAGTTCCACGACAGGTGAGCCGCATCTGATCCAAGCATGGCTCTCGCCTCCACGCGGCAGGGGAGCGAATCGCTTGGCGATAACCGACGCCATTCGAGAGAGATCTCGGCATCGGCAAGGCAAGCAGCAGAGCTAGCGATAGCTTTATTTTATTCTCCGCTGCTCAAATTCGCGTCTCTCAAAACCAAACAAAAGACAATAAACAACGACAGTGCATCACTACATACCTTTATTCTCCGCTTACGGCAAGTCAAGCAACCGGTTTTCGTCCTTCGCTTAATCTCCTTCTTGTGTCGTCCTCCGGACATAATTCTTCCATCGGGAGCAGGAATGGGATACCGACTGTGGGGAGACATGGCCATGCCCGGGTGCTGGCCAGGCGGAGGATAAGCATGCGGTTGAGGGGGAGGGTAATAGACACCCATGGGTGCGACAGGCGGTGGCAAGGGAGAACCCATTGGGGCCTGACCGGGAGGCTGTGGCCGGGCTTGAGGTGGTTGCTGCTGTTGAGCTTGCACCTGAGCCTGAACCTGCTGAGACTGCGCTTGCTGCTGTGCCTGCTGAGGATCGATGGAGCGGATAGGAGGAAGATTTAGGGAAGGAAGCGAGACGTGAGACGCGGTCGGCGAGGCGCGATAGGGCTCAGCACCAGACTGAGGAGTGCCCGGCTGCTGCGGCGTTTGCTGCGGCGGCGGATACGCGTAGGCAGACATTGAGGGCGATGGATATGAATGGGGAGATGGATAAGAGGTCGACTGGCGCGACTGGCTATTGTTGGAGCTAGGCTGGGACATATTCGACAGCGCGTATTCGGGATACGGCAGCGAAAATGTCGATGACAAGCGAACGTATGTCGACGAAGAAGGTTGAAAGGGTTGATTGAGGCAGGGTGGTGGAGTAAGACGACGGCAAAGAGTTCTGCTTGTTCAAAAAAATTCCCACGCCTGTACGCGTCGAGGGTCGTGCGTTAACTTTCAGGGACTCTAGGAATGGGCAGAAGCCACCCACGATCCGGTACCGATGACGCTCGATTGGCAGGTAAAAGGGAAATAAACGAGTCCAACGGTGTCAAATCAAGCGACACGAGGCTCAAGCGAGATCGCGAAAGAAGTCGCCTGTTGGAAAAGGTGTGGTGTTGGAGAAACGAGGTTTAGAGAACGAGAAACGAGAAACGAGACGAGGAAGACGAAGCGTCTCGAGACGAGAGGGCAAAGCGAGAAAAATAAGACTGGGGGGGTGTGGGTGGTAGAAGAGGCGAAGGTCTCGCTTTTTCGAACAAGGGAAGAGAGAGAATTAATTCCAGTCGAGCGAAAAGTGTGAAGAGCGAATTAAAAAGAGGAAAGTGTTCAATTCTGTGTGTGGGCTTCACGTAATCAAACTCTCATACTCGTCCGTCACGTCTTTTTCTCATTTCTGCAGGAGCCCGAGTGTCCGGAGTTGAATTCTTGTCTACTGCACTTTCCCTTTTGGGCTGCCTAGCGTGAATGGTACAGTCATCCGTGCCGGCTGCTGAGGCTACCGAGGGCGAGAATCCCGGGACTGAAGGTAGGGAGGGTAGGAGGCAGGAGAGGCAGGAGTTCAGGTAGCGAGCAATAAGAGCCAAAACGCGTGAAAATCATTCAATAACGGTTTTACGAGGGCAATGGAAGAGAGGGTGGCTGGGAGAGTGGTCAGAAAGGATGTTTGAGGCTAAGGGTGAACAAAACCAGGTGTGATTGGGTGCCTCTTGTGGTAGACAGCGCACATTGATGATGCCGATGATTTTACCTGGGGCCAGTGATTCTAGGTACACGCTATCATGTAATGAGAAAAGCGTGGAAGGCTGGACATGACGAAGATGAATGAAGAATGTGTGCACATTGGTTGGTTCAGCTCGGATCCATTGCCTTCCTTTTGACCAAAACAGTAAGCGCAGCCCTGGTCTCTCCGGACACCCATCTCCAAGAGAGAACGATGACCATCTACGGAGTAACGCGCAATACGGGGTAATCAACAGAGAAGAGAAAGGTCATCTGGAAATAGGGCACCAAGCAGATAATAACCATACAGAATCCATGACTGCTTGATAGATACCGCAGTGGGCTTTTGACCCTATCTGTCATACTCAATCTGGCTTTGGGTCACCGTACCTTGAATAAATAATATCTCTACGAGGAATGGAGAAAGCGATGGATTGAATATCAAGGTCACGTTTACGATTGGACCTACATTTCGCTACCCTGACGATTGGTCTGCTTTCCTAACTTAAATACAACACCCTCAATTGGGAAGGTGTCATTCTACAAAGGTAAGGGCAAGGAAGAGAAGCAGTAAATCACATCCCTTTCCATGGTAAAAGCCAAAACAATCAGCAGAAAATGTCTTTCAAAATTGAACCTGAACGCGGTTCAAAAAGGCTGGGTAAGGCGACGGTAATGGCGTCAATTGGGATCCACGTCCAACAGGGTAGTTCTATTGTGACTACTGCAAATTAGAGGTTCCCGAGGGGAACGGAGCGAAATAACGTGGTCGTAACGGTGTCCTGACCCGGGTGTTGAAGCGGAGGCGGTTCGATACGTTGTTAGCTGCCGTGGGAAGCCAACCGAGCCAAGGGCGCAAGGCACCAGAGCTTGAAAGTGCCAGTGTGCATGGATCTCAAGTCTATGTCACTTCTCGTTAAGCAAAAGCCTCTGGAGAAAATGGCCAACGTGACTAAAAGCAAAGTACGTGTAATTCAGACTATCTTCGTAGCTATACCGAAGCCCTGGTGAGCTTGACCTTGAGTAGACTCTGGAGCAAATTATTTCGCGACAAATGAGACTCAGACTCCCGTTCCAAATGTAACCAAAGACGGCACATTATCGGATGCTTTGTATGTCTTTAATTATTTGACTTTTGGAGGCCCTTATGACCATAGGATGTAGCTCAGCGTGTGCGGAGCTTACTTGACCTCGTCGCATTTGCATAGAGAAACTGGTCAAAGACAATCGTCAACGGTGGGGATCAATTGGACCCTTGTCCTTGGCCAATTCTGCGTTGACGATTCTTCGATAGTTGCTATGCATTCTGGCATTGGCTAAAAGAACTTCAGATAAGTTCTCAAACATACGGAGAGCAAAAGGTCTTGAAGTGACGTGGGCTCACCGTCGTTAGCTCAAGCGTTCGAAACTCTGACGGATTCAGGACAGTCCTCTTTTCCGACATTCATGTGCCATGGAGCTATTATATGAAAAGTAAGAGTATCTACTCGTTCGATCCCAATGAGAAAACAATGCCTACATCATCTTCCCAACTTGGATGACTTACGAAAACTATTGGGGGAGCACTCTTGTGAATAATACATACAATGCCTGGGAATTTCCTGCAAGCGGTAGAACTCTGACGGCGGGAAGGCGCATGAGATGTGGGCAAAGCTGCGTGGTCAACGTCACGCGAGCGATTTTTCTGACACTTAACGCCAGAGAATGTTGTCAGCGAGCATGCTAATTCCCGGCAGATTTTCTGCAGACGAATAATATGGCTCTCGAATATGGGCCAAGATGACAGGAAGGACTGTTGATTTGCGACCAGCCGTGGCATGTCTGTACTACAGCCATCCGGAGGATTTGCTGGCTGCCTCCCAGGCCTCTCCCAAATCGTTCTTGGTGCAACATATTTTGTAATTACTAATCGTGCTGGATGACGAGGGAAAGAATGCATTTTGTCATCGATGCATTTTCTCGCGGGAACTTCTTGCATCGCAAGTTGCTGAATCCGGAAATTAAACTGGATTTAAGCTGTCAATTTGCGTCAGATAGAAAAGAGACTATTGAACCAGCGAAGGAAAAGAAGGTGGCATTATCACCACTTTCAATATATGAGATTTCGCCAAGAAATATATGCGATGAGAAGCAAGATGGTTAGGCTTGAAAACGCTTTTGAGCCTCACAAAAGAGGAGCCAAGGCACCAAAGAGAGTATACGATCCTTTACCAGAAAATGATAACTTTGATACAAAAGATGATTATTGTCCTTCCGTGAGTATTCTCGTCCAGTCGAAACTTCGCCATCGCTTCTTGAACCCCTCCACTCTCCTGTCACCTCCCTTCTGCCATCGGCCTTGCCGCTTGATTGCTGTAGGGTCTGCATCTAACATGCCTCCAATGATTTCCCGCGCAAATAAATCGCCTTTCGGCCAACGGTTAGGGTCTTCCACGATATGTCCTAAGCCGCCATCAAGCTCGAACCATACGTGAAAATAAGGCATCTCTTTGGCTAAAGAACGTCGGAAGGCAAGTTTCCCAAGGCCCTGGTTCTTTGCACGTGCAAGTGTGTCTATGAGTTTCCTATGCTGAGTCCATTCCTCATCTGAAGAGAGGATCGCCTCGCGGAAAAAGGCAGGAGCTGTCTCTCCAAGACTGTAAGGAAGAGGAACCACTTCCATTGCTGCGTGTCTTTTGCGTTCCGGTCGTGCTGCATTTTCGTAAAAGACCACGTCGCGACCTTGCTCATGATACATTCTGGTCAAACACTTCATGAAGTTCTGAAAATTATTGTGAGCTATTTTCGGGAACGCCGAGATGATACATTACTCACTCGCATTTCTTCCCACTCGTCATCGTCACATTCGAGCAGGTTTAGCCGATGCTGAATTGGCACAATGCATGCACCACCATCGGCAAGCTCTGGTTCAGTTGGCAGGGTAAGGTATACTCTCGTTGCAAGGGAAACTACCGGTGCTATAGGAGGCGTGTTCGTATCCTCATGGTGACACAATGGGCATGTGTCAAGTATGCGGTTCATTTTTTGAAAATCTGAAATGGCCATATTTTTGAGGTTGATCTCCGATTTTTGGACCCTTTTTGCCAGCTTTTCGGCATTGTCGTCCATGTAGTCGAGATCATCCTACACACTTCCATTAGCAGCGTCATAGAAAAGGTGAGGAGCCGAACACGCACAGTGAACCTTCCGTCTTTGGCTATTTGTTCTGCAAACCGCTGACCCTCGCCACCAGCCTGTCCTCGGGATCTTTTCTCGGCTCGGACCATATCTTCAATGCTCATGTCTTCATTCTCTTCAACAAGGCCGCGCTCCCGGCCACGTTTGTTATGAACTGCCTTAACTTCACCTTTACGATCAGCAAGGAGGCGGCTCTCCATAGTACCAAGCACCACTACTCCAGGATCCTTGCGATTGGCTGCCACAGCCATGGCATCATTATATTCTGCTTCAAGACGCGCAGCGTCTGATGAGCGACGGAGCTTTGCTTTCATCATTTGAGCCTTCAACCGATTCAGAGCACTTTGGTCGAGGGGCAGAGTTTTCGTCGGGGCAGGCTCTGTTTCGAAAGTCTCGCCCTGAGGCGGCTCCGTTTGTTCGACCTCCTGCTTAGATGAGCTGTTTCTTCTGATTCCGTAGTCTAGCTTTCTCTCTTGAAACAGCTCTCCGCTAGGTTTCTCTTTTCCAACGTAGCCTTCGCCGTAGGTCTCACGGCGGTCCAGCTCTATTTGCTCCTCGCGTGCATCATCGAAACTTCGTAGATCACCATATCGCTCCAAAGCAAACTCCTCGACTCGCTTTCCTGTCTCCTCAGCTTGTCGATAGATTGCTTTTAGTTTCGTCATCCGCCACTTCGAGCCGGCATCTCCAAAGGTATAGTCAACATCGTGCTGGGATGGCTCGTTTGCAATATCTTCCAAGCCTTTCCCTTCCGCTAGATCTTTGAGATGGGTGTTTAGTTCATTTTTGTGAACACTGAGGTTGAAGTCTGGCTTCAATTGCTTTTCAGTTTGCTCCCTCGGTCTCTGGACACCTCGTTGAACGTAGTCGACATCTAAAGCTGAAGGTGCCTCCATCCACGTATCGCGCTTTAGGGCCGGCTGTAGAGGACCTTCCGCATTTTTTGTATCTTCATTAGAAGCCTCTTTCTCGACCCATTCGTCTTCCTTCTCATCCGCCTCATCGTCTGCTGGTTTCCGAGCCTTTGTTGTTTCGCATCGTGGAGACCTTCGATGCTTTCGCTCGTGCCGGTCATCAGAATCATTTCTTGGGTAGTCATCCCCCGCACGACGCGAGCGCTTGTGTCTATGATGATGACTTGAACGGTCCTCGTCGGAGTAGTCGCGATCCCTTGAGGATCTATGGTGGTGCCGGTGATGATGGTGGCGGCTGCGATGCCTTGAATTTGCGTTGCGAGTCCGCTCAGACTTGTCGCGATCCTTCTCGGCGGCTAGAGACTTTTCGAAATCTTCCAACGTCATTGTTGAATGTGGTTTTTATTTCTTCCTGCGGAGTCGAAACCAATGCAGAAGCTCGGAGCTCGAAGCTAGCTTGTGTATGCTTGAGTTCCCCGAAACTGATTTGGCGAAGCGAGTTGACATCACCTAACATTTTGCGAAGCGGCATAAGATTTGACAGTTCATCTCTACAGAACTCTCTCGTTCGAATTTTCATCTCGTCGACATACCACAAGCTCTGCTGTCGATTGAGGAACCATGTCGTCTCAACCTGTTTCAATCGTCTGCGTCGGCATGGCCGGTGAGTCTTCCCTTGTCAGAAAGACGGAGAACTTTTTTGGTCGTGGACTTACTCTTTCGACCAGGCTCCGGCAAGACGACTTTTATGCAGCGCATCAATTCTCATCTTCACTCCAAGAAGTCTCCTCCATATGTTATTAACCTTGATCCTGCTGTGCGAAACGTGCCGTTTGACAGCAACATTGATATCCGCGACTCTGTCAATTACAAAGAGGTCATGAAACAGTATGTCCATTACTCCGCATTAAATTTTGGTGTCTCGTTACTAATGCTGGCCTGTTATAGATACAATTTGGGACCGAACGGGGGGATCATCACCTCGCTCAATCTCTTTTCCACCAAAATTGACCAAATCCTGGGCCTCCTCGAGAAGCGAACGGCTCCGGACCTGGAGAATCCCACCGTACGGCCGATTAAAAACATACTCATCGACACACCCGGCCAGATTGAAGTGTTTGTCTGGAGTGCATCTGGAAGTATTCTTCTAGACTCTCTCGCATCCACGTTCCCTACGGTCATAGCATATGTAATCGACACCCCGCGAACTAGCTCTACCAGCACGTTCATGAGCAACATGTTATATGCATGCAGTATATTGTACAAGACAAAACTTCCGATGATTCTGGTCTTCAATAAAACCGATGTCAAAGATGCTGAGTTTGCAAAGGAATGGATGACAGACTTTGAGGCCTTTCAAGAAGCTTTGAGACATGAAGAAGAGATGGGAAGCTTCGGTGGCATTGAAGGCGGAGATGGTGGCCTCGGTGGTGGAAGCGGCTACATGGGGTCGTTGCTGAACAGCATGAGCCTCATGCTGGACGAGTTCTACCGCCATCTCAGCGTTGTTGGGGTAAGTTCTATGACTGGCGATGGGGTGGATGAGTTCTTCGAGGCGGTCGACGAGAAGGCCAAGGAGTTTGAAAGAGACTACCGCCCAGAGCTGGAGAGAAGGCGGAAAGAGCGGGAGCAGCAGCGAGAGAGCAGAAGAGAGCAAGACCTGGGCAGACTAATGAAGGACATGTCCGTTTCTGGAGGAAAGCGTCCTCAGAAGGAAGAACCAGAAGTGATCAGCGACCTCGAGGACGAAGGCGAGGATATCGAAGCAGAGATGGTGGAACCAGATGATGATGATGATGATCTGGCCATTGATGATGACCAGCAACGCGAGAAGATCGACACTGCCCTATCGGACAGATATAAGCAAGCGCTTGCTAAGGAAGGTGACGCCGGCCATGCTCCATCAGGAGAAGACTTTAGTTTCGCCAGGTACCTGCGAGCGAACCAGTAAACCAAGATACACCATTAGGCAGCAAAATGTCCAAGCAAGGAGAAGCGGGCGTTGGTAGTAAAATATTTGAGGCTTTTGCCGGGGGGCGTTGGTTGGAATATTCTTATGCAATATGTGGCTAGACTCATTTCACATTCTTAGAAGAAACCATAATTATCAATAATTACCGTGTTTGCGACTTGAAGGGATGACAATTAATATTGTGATACATCCACAATCTATACTTCGCTTACTATGATCGAACGGGGTATCTCATTGCTGTCAATCGCACTGCTTCCTTGGGAATATTGCAGAGATACAAAGATTATCGAGAAGACGCTCCCTCATTGCTGTTAAATGCTCTAATCCAACGCCATTGAGTGCTTCACAAACTTCAGAAAATGCCGCTTACTCCCAACGTTGGGCTTGAGCAGCAGTATCTGCATCTCTTGCTCGTCTGTTCTCTTCGCTCTCGGCTTTCAATGTGGTGGCTCTTGTTTGCCTTCTCTGCTCATCAAGCTGCTGCCCTAATTTGCCAGTCTTGGGCTTGTTCGTCGCTGCTGCTCGATCCTGCAAGGCATCTCGTTACTCCACGTGCTAACCATTTTTATGCCGCCCACCGTGCGTTTGAAACTACAGACACTTCCTCAAAGGGGCACTCACCTGTGCGGCTTTAGCAGCAGCTTCACGTGGGTCTTGATTCGGATTGGCGCCACCTAAGGTCCGACCTGGAACATTGGCTCTGGCAGGGACTGAGGCTCGTTGGTTCGCAGAAGGCGGCGGGGCAGATCCAAGGGTACGTCCTGGCTGCTCGAATGGGTCGGATGATTTTGACTCTTTCCCGCAACAATTGCCCATGATTCAAATAATTATTCTATTGTGGTCGAAATATTTCTACAAGTACCAAGGTGGGAGGGACATCGATTGACATGGGCCACAAATAAGATCATACGCAAGACCAGTGACATTGGCCGAATCACGTCGGAGATGATATGTATTCGCGCTTACTCCGCTACGATGGAGAGTAAGTCCAACCAGAAGCCACAAGGCGAACCGATCGGCACTCTCGCTTCTGCCCCGCACAGAAACATGCGACGCACCAGAATTGTCAGGCACATGCGAGGACTAGTTTGCGCAGGACTTCAGTTTGAATGGACGACAGACAGAGTAAGTAGCGGTTTTCCTTATGATTTTAGCATTAGCAAAAGTTTCTTCATGGTTTTTTAATCTGTATTGCTTTGCGTTTGGGCTTCTGTGCGATATCAAAATCATCAGTCGACTGTCTCCGTTTGCGTTGTTCGCGTGAAATCTTTCAGTCTTTTCCTGTCTCTGCAGATTTTTGAGTCCCTTGGTGGTTCGCATGCAATCATTCTGTGCTCGAGGGCCACACTGTGCCCAGCACACGTTGTCCCACTTCCCACTTTCTAAGGCCCTGTCGCGTTTGCGTAATGTAACCAGCAAGGAAAATTATAGATTCAACAAACTTTTTTATTGACTGTCAGGCAGATATCATCTACCCGTCTCGCTCCGGTAATTCCGATCGCCAGCGCAGCTCAAGCTCATAACAGCGCCCCACGATAGTGGGCTAATGGCCCTGACAACCAGGACGATCCAGCTGGCTCTCTAAGAGGAAGCGGCCGTTTTATCCTTCTCAATTCAGTCCTTGCATATCCTAGTCTCCTCTCACGTGGTGGAGCGTCGTCTAACCATGGCCTCGGCACACGATGCAAATACTGCATCCCAGCACGAAGATGATGCCGCCTCGGCGTGTTCCGCCACCTGCAGTCAAAAGACCTGTAGCAACTGCTGCGACGAGGATCATTGCGAAGAAGACCATTGTAAGGAAGACCATTGTAAGGAAGATCATTGTGAGGAAGACCATTGCGAGGAAGACCATTGCGAAGAGGATCATTGTTCACAGTCTTGCGAGGGCTTTGTGAAATGCAGCGAAGGCCCAGAGTGCGATTCGCCATCTAGCCTTGTCCAGGCTTGCATTTCAGACTCGTGCACTGTCCCGCCTTGTGTCAGTACCGCATGTGCCGAAGAGACCTGTGCGAGTTTTGCACCACCATGCTTTGACACACACTGTGCTTATCCGTGGGCAAACAGTGCTGAACAAAGTCCGTCCATGGTCCCTTCGCCACTCAGTACCTATGTCAGCAGTTCTCAGACTGGTTTGTGGACTCCAGTGGATGGATGGTTGCGAGACAGCGTGTCGCCATTACAGCAGCGGGTACATGTACGAGGCCATGGAGAGATGCCTACACCCAGCCCGTTCTCACTCGAAGACGATCCGAGTGGTTTAGCCCTCTCCTACGATCCTTACGCATATCCCGACGCAAAAAAGGCCAAAACTAGCCACAATCCTTCGGAGGAAGTCGCAACATACCTCCTCCCACATTCTCTCCCAGAGACACAGACAGAGCAACATCCGACCTCGCTTCAGCCCACGTCAAACCCGTCGTTTCTATGCCTCTGGGGCAATTCTTGCGGCGAAGAATTTTTTGATTTCAACGCGCTAGAAGATCATGTACAGCATAATCATGTCCGACCACAGACGGTGTTCAACTGTGAATGGGACAGCTGTGGACAAGTCACCGCCTCTTCTGATTTACTCTCTCACGTCCGACACAGTCACGCTTTTGCTGATGAGCATATTTGTCTCTGGGCAGGGTGCGAAGCAAAATTTTATCGAGTCGAAGATTTGGAAGAGCATGTAAAGATAGCGCACGTTCCTCAGAATGCCCTTTATTGTCAATGGGATCACTGTGGCATACTGGCCGATGGGCCGGCCAATCTGAGCAACCACTTGCAAACAAATCACCTCATTGGACTCGGCGTGGACCATAACACCCAGCAAACGCACTTTTGTACCCATTCGCACTCTCATAATCAAAATCATCTATATCAGCATCAGCATTTCCACCACCTTCATGGGCATCCGCGTCCTGATGACCAGACCTATGTTCTCAAAGAAGATTCGTTCCCACGACACAAGCCAATCTCATCCCGCTCACAGAGTACACCGTTGGAATCCCAGAATCCCGTTGTGCCTTCCGAAGATGAACCCGAGGAGGGCGACGATAAGTCTCAAGTTAGAATCTGCAGTTGGTCCGAAAAAGATGGCAGTACATGCAATCAAACCTTTGATAGTGTACGCGATTTGCACGAGCACGTAAAAGAGCACCATGTCGGATCTGAGGATAGCAGAGAAGATGGCTATGTTTGCAGGTGGGCCGGCTGCAGTAGGATGGCTATGAAGCCGTTCAAGCAAAAAGGGAAGCTGGAACGCCATATTCAAGTACACACGCGACGTATGGATTTACGCAAGCCCTTCTTTTCTTTTCCGTATGTCTGATCTGCTAACGCACCGTAGTAAAAAACTGTCAATGCCAGTTTTGCGGCAAAGAGTTCTCAGCGCAGCAAGCACTGGCACAACATGAGCGCACTCACACCGGAGAGAAGCCTTTTCTATGTGAATACTGTGGAAAGGGCTTTGCTCAAAGTAGCGCTTTGAGTAAGTAAACCTCAAATCACTCCTCCGAAACAAAGGAGGCATTAGAGCTAATAGCAATTACAGCGATGCATAAGAGAACGCACACAAATGAAAAGCCATTGAAATGTGATTTTCCTGGTTGTAACAAGACCTTTAGCGAAGTAAGCAACAATCAAGCCATTCCGCTCAATGCTGTCCGACGGAATGCTAACAACAAGTCATTGACGTCAGTCATCCAATCTATCCAAACATAAGAAAAGTATGTAATTTTCTCCTGACATTGAAGTTTTGAGCTTAAGCATACTGATTCATATTCTAGCACATAGCAAACTTCCTCGCGAGCACAGGTGCACTTTTCCTGGTTGTGATAAATCTTTCCATCGATTCGGTAAGCACAGGATCGGTTTTCAATTCACATTACGATTGAAATTAATAATTAACGTATTGCTTAAGACCAATTGAAACGACATCGAAAAGTTCATGAGAAGAAACGCCAATTGACAGACGTGTCTGGAAGTGATACCAGTGCGGCTTTCCAAATCCCGCCCTATCCATCATCACATTCGAGTTCTCGATCAGCCTCTGGATCCTTTGAGCCTTTAGATCTACAAGAGCTACGATAGCAAAACCAACCTCAGCATCGCATTCCCAACGCATTTATGAGGTTTCTTGAACGTCGCTTGCCAGAAGCTCAGGAAATGCAGCTACCAGCGACAAAAGCCTCCTTTAATTCGGGAATGACCCTCTGCGCTGTGCGCAAGGGGTAACCATGAATCATGATTGACGGAGTTAAAAGAAGAGAGACAAGAAGTTACGAGGACAGGTGGACCGTGAAATAGCAACTCGCGGTCAGTATATATCGGCGTTGGTGATTTGATTTCATTCAAAAAAGAGGGACGCGAGTCGCAAAAAAGGCATGATCTTGGGTGGATAGCATTGATATTTTACATCCTTTGTTGACTGTGCTCTTTCGAAACACGCACTTGATCTGCATCGGCAGATTAGAGCTGACAGGCGGGCAGTGTATCGAACTTATCCGATGTCGCTGCGCCTCGTCCCATTCGAACCCAGGACGCAGCACCTAAAACGGCTCTCGAGGCGATCTTGTGCGAGGATTTTTTACTTTTCCTATTTCATTTTTCCCCCTTCCCTCTGCCATTCTCTCTTGTTCCTTTCTTTTCTACCCAATCCGTTAATGCTATCCAACTCTCATGCTTGCTCCAACTTCAATCCCTCATGGAGCTGTGTTGAGCGTGGCAAAGATACACAAAGCCGGCTAACTGAGCCTGACTTGCAAAAGTCGCCCATGATAGACCTTTAATCTCCTTCCCCCCCCTTGGTTGTTTAAAATTATACCCATCATACTAGACATTATAAGAACAAAGGAAGAGAAATTAAATTTGAGATCTGATGAATTATTACTTGTCTGCGAGAGTGTTATTATCACTGCAAATTAACACGGGCAGTTGTCCATACGGTCTAGGAGTTCTTTCTATTCATTTCTCCACTAGTCAGAAGAGCGAGGGTACTGGCAAAGGCAGTACCGTAGAATAAATGAACAAACAGAATCCTCTTCTGAAAGCTATTTCTGAGGTAAAAAAAAACGCCCGGTTCACTTATCCCGACCACAACGCCTAAAAGCCAGAGAAGAGGAAAATAATGATACACTTTACCCGACAAGCACCAACAAAAAGCGGGAAAGAAAAAAAATTTAGGGAAGGAGCTAAATGTCAGGCGCCGAAGCCTTGGCTATCAGACGAGACGAAAGAGGTAACAAGTGTAGTGTAATATGTAAAGGCACAGTAGGGTGTGGGGTAGGGTATGGTATCTACATTGATGTGTGAGGAAGTAAAAAGTTGTGAGATTTTATTCCCAGGGTGAAGAAGAGGGGAAGGGAGCTGGAAAAATAGAAAGGGAAGCCTGTCAGATGAATCGAGATGATATGGTGATGCTAGAGTAAGGGAAATTGAAAAAGAGCAAAGTCTCTCTCCCAGCGCTCCGTCTTCCACAAAATGAAGGAAAACGAGTAGCGAAAATAAAGACCATTATTTCGCTGGCTGACCCATCTTGCCTGCACCAGTATCGACCTTCTTCCGGGCGGGCAAATCAGGCACCTTGAACCCATCCTTGGTCATGGTGGTCGAGGAGCCAGAAGCATTGCTATTGGCGCCACTACCCACTTGGGTGAACGTGCCAGAGCGGAACCAACGGTCTTCTTCGGCTTTACGTTTACGATGCATTTCCGCTTGGGCCTTCGGATCGACCAGCTCGAGACCTTGAACGGGGGTAAAAGCAAGTGAGGAAGCGGTGCCGGCCGTGGGACCACCGACGCCAGAGGACCGCAAGCCGTGAGCGCGCAGAACGGCCGCATTGTTTCCAGCGCCCTGGCCAAAGCCGCGTAGCGACGAGGCCATGCCGCTGACGGGCGTGGCTGCGCCCCAGCCCTTGTTGTTCTTGCTGAGCTTGGCCCTTGTGCGTTGGTCGATTTGCAAGTTTCGGATGCGCCCGTCGTTGGCTTGGCCAATCATGCCGAGACCAGCGGTGCCTTCGCCGGCGCCGTATCCGACTTCTTTTTCTTCCTTGCCGAAAGCCATGCGGTTTTGCGCCTTGCGGAGATCCGTCATGGCGGTGGCTTCCTTGGCCTTGCGGGCACGGCGACCGCCTCGTTTACGGGAAGGTTTGTCGTCGGGGACGGGAAGAGCGCGTGCGCCTTTGTTGGGTGGGGGCTCGGTGAGCTTTTCAAGTCGTTCGAGGCATGTCTGGCGGAGTTCTTCGCCAAGAGCGCCGTTAGGGCTGTTGTGCACGCGGTCGACGCGCGCGGCGAGGATGACTTTGGCGGAAACGATTCGCATGGCTTGCCGTTTGAGATCGCTGGGAATACCTCGGATGATGGGCGAGTGGTAAAGGAATCCTTGCTGACGGACGCCAACGTTGGTGGCGAAACCGGTCTGGGATTGTTTCTTGGAGCCCAGTGGGGGAAGGTTACACGCTGGGGTTTTGGCTAAGCCTGTGAGCCCTCCGGCGAAATTGAGAAGTTGAGCAGCGGTGAGAGATCCGATGAGAGCGGTGAGGTTTGGCGCGAAAATGTTCATCCGCGATTGCACGTATTCTGTGAGAATTCTCTTGGCCCTGTCGAGGGAAAGCGTCATCTCGCAGGCTCGCGTGACAGTCTGTAGCTCGGCCTCGCTCAGTGCGCGGCCGGCAGTAGTGGTAGCCTCCACTGTGACAATCATGAGAGTTGGTCCGTCTAGCACGCTCCTAAGTGAAGCGCCGATGATATTGTCCGTTTTGGAAGCCAGCCCTTTTATATCGTCCATAGGTCCATTTCCAATAATTGCCACGGTTTTGGCGTAGTCGAGGGGATTGGTGACCAACGTTTCGAGTTCCGGGAAACGGTTCGAGTAGTGGTCCCGGATAAACTTGTGCACCAGAATAATCTCGCTGTCAATGGACGTTGAGAGCGTATTTGATTGAGTAAGAAGATGATATTCCGGGTTATCTTCGATCGAGCCCACATTGGTCGTTTGCTTCTCTGGTGGTAGGTTTTGGAAATGTGCGATTCTCTGCAAAAGAGGCGAAATGAACGTGTCAGGACTAATTCATCAAGCGCACAAGATGTAAACTTTCAAACTTGACGTTCAATGGATGTAGAAGGGCAGGAGAGTGAGAGCTTACCTCTAGGACAGGTTCCAATGTCTTCATCAATCCAGCAACACTCCGAACGTCTGTGATGGCGCCCAATTTCATCTTTTCGACCTTTGCCTTTGCCTCCTCTTCATCTTCAACATCGTCGAGCGCGCCCATGTGATTGTCACCCATCTCTTCATCCTCATCCCCGACGGCTTCCTCGTCGTCATCTAGTACCATTCCGCCATCGGCCTCAGCAGACTTTGACCTTTGTTGTATTCCATTTTTCACAGAGGGGGACTGTGTCCCATCCTCGTCGGGGACTTCATTTGAGAGATCCTGCTCTCCTTCGGAGCCGGACTCTTCAAAATCGTTCAGAAGCTCGTCTGCTAGAGTCGACATGGCTGATCAAGTGGTGTTGGCCTCAAGTCGTAATAATGGACCGGGAAAATATAAGACGGGCTCTTAAACTTCCCGCGCAGTGACGAAAGTGGGAGCTTCGCGAAGGAGAAAACGCCTGGGCTGAATGCGTCGGCACGTGATTGGATATTTTGCCTGATCGGCCACAGGTACGATTCTGTCACGCCAAACAGTCGACTTATCTCCGTCACCACTGGCGCCTCTTCCAGGCGAAAGCCGTACTGAACTTCGGCCTCAAAAACTACGCGCAATTGCCCTGAAATCAAAGGTGCACTGTTGCCTTCTTTTAGTTATAATTTCTGAGAGAGAAGTGACCCGATAAACATTTGCCATCATGGAGGCTTCACGAGGCCCGCCGAGGGTCAAGAACAAGGCCGCGGCGCCGATGCAAATCTCCGCCGAGCAGCTGTTGCGAGAAGCTGTCGACCGTCAAGAACCCGGAGTGCAGGTGCCTACACAGCGCTTTGCTGACTTGGAAGAGCTTCATGAATATCAGGGAAGGAAGAGAAAGGAGTTTGAGGACTATGTGCGGCGCAATCGGATCAATATGCACAACTGGATGCGCTATGCGCAGTGGGAGCTTGAACAGAAGGAATACAGGAGGTAAGGAAACTATTCATTGGGTATAGGGAGATTTTATTGGCACTGACAGTTGTCTAGAGCTCGATCCATATTTGAGCGTGCTCTTGATGTGGACTCAACCTCTGTGGTGCTATGGATTCGATATATCGAGGCGGAGATGAAGACCAGAAATATAAACCATGCCCGGAACTTGCTGGACCGCGCCGTGACAATTCTTCCCCGCATCGACAAGCTGTGGTACAAGTATGTTTACATGGAGGAGATGCTGGGCAACATTGCGGGAACGCGACAGGTCTTTGAGCGATGGATGACTTGGGAGCCTGATGAGGCAGCTTGGGGCGCTTATATCAAGCTAGAAAAGAGATACGGAGAATTTGACAGAGCCAGGGCCATCTTTGAACGCTTTACCGCTGTGCACCCGGAGCCTCGAAATTGGATCAAATGGGCACGGTTCGAAGAAGAAAATGGTACCAGCGATCTAGTGCGCGAAGTTTTTGGCATAGCCATTGAAACGCTTGGCGAAGATTTCATGGACGAGAAACTATTTGTAGCCTACGCGCGATATGAGGCAAAGCTCAAAGAATATGAGCGTTCCAGAGCCATCTTCAAGTATGCCTTGGACAGACTGCCGCGATCAAAATCAGTGGCACTTCACAAAGCGTACACGACATTCGAGAAGCAATTTGGCGACCGCGATGGAGTTGAAGACGTGATCCTCTCCAAACGTAGGGTGCAATATGAAGAACAAATCAAGGAGAACCCGAAGAACTACGACGTGTGGTTCGATTACGCGAGACTGGAAGAGACACTTGGAAACGTTGATAGAGTACGAGACGTCTATGAACGGGCCATAGCCCAAATTCCTCCCACCCAGGAGAAGCGCCACTGGCGAAGATATATCTACTTATGGATATTCTACGCGTTATGGGAAGAGATGGAAAACAAGGACATCGAACGAGCACGACAGGTCTATCAAGAGTGTATCAAACTCATCCCGCACAAGAAATTCACATTTTCCAAGATCTGGCTCATGAAGGCTCAATTCGAGATTCGGCACATGCAGCTACAGGCAGCTCGAAAGACGCTTGGTCAAGCGATCGGCATGTGTCCAAAGGACAAGCTTTTCAAGGGTTACATTGAGCTCGAGTTGAAGCTCTTTGAGTTTGTACGGTGCCGGACACTGTACGAAAAACACATCGAATGGAATCCTTCCAACTGCCAAGCATGGATCAAGTTCTCGGAATTGGAGCGAGGTCTGGATGACCTCGAACGTGCCAGGGCGATTTTCGAGCTGGCCGTCAACCAGGAATACCTCGATATGCCCGAGCTGTTGTGGAAGGCGTACATCGACTTTGAGGAGGAAGAAGGCGAGTACGACCGGACACGAGATCTCTACGAACGTCTGCTGGAGAAGACGGATCACGTCAAAGTGTGGATCAGTTATGCTCACTTTGAGATTAACGTTCCAGATCCCAGCGAAGGGGAAGAGGAAGAGGAGGAGGAAGAAGAGAAGCCGGTCAGCGATGAGGCCAAGGCGCGGGCGCGCAAGGTCTTTGAGCGGGCGTACAAGAGCATGAAGGAGAAGGATCTCAAAGAAGAGGTACGTAGAGTTGATTTACATGTTTTTCTTTCACCCGTCGGCTTTGATGTGGCTATAATTTTCAACTTTTCAGAACGTTTGCTAACTTATTCCAGCGCGTTGCCCTTCTCAATGCTTGGAAGTCCTTTGAGAACACGCACGGTTCGCCTGACGACATCGAGCGCGTGGAGAAGCAAATGCCCCGCAAGGTCAAGAAGAGAAGAAAGCTCGACGACGACAGCTATGAGGAGTACATGGACTATGTGTTCCCTGCAGACGACGAGAGTGCTGCCAAGATGTCCAAGCTGTTACAGATGGCGCACCAATGGAAGCAGACCCAAGGCGCATAAGAGGGCATTCGGGCGTTCGTCGTATCAAGAATATTATATTGTCTACACTTCATGGAGTGGTTTGGCCGTGTACAGTACAGTGCAAATATATTCTCATTGTAATACAAAAGTGACGCCATTCTTGTTGTCAATTACTGGAGACTATAGGAGTGACATCAATTACAACTCCTTTGACATATTAGCATCTTTTTCCCATTTAGATTTACGACAGATTCTCTGTCCAGAATGTACACGGCCGTAAGTTCACATGGTAATGCTAATGGCTCGTTCGTAAACCTAAGTGCATCTCACAACACAGCCTTGCGGCGAAATCGTCTTTTGCGATCTTGCGGTGTGCCATCCCAACAAGGCTTGCTTCTTCGCTAGCAAGGTAGGGAGAAACCTTATCTGAAGAAGCGGCTCTAGAAAAAAAATCTATCAGTTAATGTAGTGGCCAACCCCGCATCTTAGGCAAGGGCAACAAGAAAAAAAACACTCCAGACGCCGCTTGGGATCAGAAATACGTTGCTGCATTGTAGATATACCGGATACTCTCGGAACGCACAGCTCAGCTCGCTTTATTCATACATCTTTGTATTGTACTTTGTCACTTATGGGCTAGGTGTTTTGACTTTGTACCTTGCTTCTAGGCCATGCACTGTCGTCTTTATGCAAACGCAGTATATTACTATCGCTCGAGTCAGTGCACCGCCGTGTAGCCGCACAGGCGAGAAGGCATGAATCAAAAGGGCGAAACTTAGGTGACTTCTGGCTCTATTTGGAGTTGGTATAAAGTTCGGACAATCGTCACTTTTACACAATGTTATTCCCACTGTATCCTACTATTATTGAGAGCCCTCTTGGAAGGCCACGCGTCTGGACTCGTAGTGTATACGGTGTATGCATTCTATGCATGAAGGATTACAGCAGGAATATTACTATCGAAACCCTCTCACGTTTCTAGATTGGGGTGTTTTATTCCTGGGAGAAGAAACCGCCTTATCTAGAGCAACCGAGTGATTGAAAATTACAGTAAATTCAGTCCTATCCGAGTACGATTTGAAAATGAATCTTGGAATGCTGATGAATTTCGACTGGCTAGATTATGGAGAGAATCCTACAACAGCCGGTAGGTTCAGCCAGAATAAGATGCCAGCTTGTTCTAGTGCAGTAGAGTACAGACTATCCAGAATGCCGATGTATGTGATGTGAAAGTGGCTTGCTGGTTCCTGGGGCCGGCCACTCTGGACGGGTGGGAGGGTTGAAGGCCTAGCGGCGACGTGGGCTACAGAGGCGAGATCTGAGCAAGGGGCGAAATCGCGGTAGCTACGAGTAAGCCAATTATTTTAGTTACCTGCTACGTACGAATAACGCACACTGTAGGAGGCTGACGAAGAAACACTGCGTAAGTGGGCGAGAGGGATCATCTTGTCACATTTAAGGATTGGACCTGGAACGTTTGACAAGCATAGCATAAGACACGGGTTGAAGGTGGCACGGATGGCACAGACGAGAAATATGTTACACAGGGCGAAGCCGAGCCTCAATGGCCGATGCTGTACGGCACCAATTCGCTGCTTTTTATTACATTTTCCGTCGTGGAACATTGGGCGGGGTCAAAAAATGAAGGTAAAAAAGGTACCTTATATCACTGTGGTATGGCTCTGCTCACTCACCTGTATTACCGCATGACATAACATGGCAGGGCAGAGCGGCGGAAGCACGGTTGCGGTGCCGCCCGTACATGTGTTATTTATCGTGGATTGACACTGGCAGGTAGTGGGGAAAAGGAGTCACTATTGATGTTAAGGTAGATGTCCCAGAGATGCGTCAGCCGGCATATTTTATGGCATTGTCTGCAGCTTAATGCTGAAATAAGGCCCTAATGGATGTCGAGTGTATAATGTTGTATTGTACGAGCTGATTGGCTCTACTCGGTGTAAATGCAGGGTACCTCAGTGACACCATCATGACAGACATACTACGGTAACGTCACAAATCAAATACGGTGCGGTGGAATACGTATAGCTACCTGAGATACCTACCTCTTTACTTAGAGGTACGGCTAGTGTTTGAATCTTTGTCACAAGTTCAATGGCATTATTCACTCAAAATAAGGTAATGATTGAGTGCTTTCGAGCAAGTGGAAGGCCTACGGAGTAAAGGCGAAAGTATCGAAGAAGACACGTAGAACCTTCTCTACGATTTTATAGAATGCCCCATTATGGGCGGGGCCGTGATCAAGCACCAACGGGCAGATGACCTCGTGGAGTGAAACCAGGGGGTTGAGGAGCGAGGGACTATTACGGTCCTAGTACTTTGTAGTTACTCCGTATGACATGACTCCGGTAGAGTGGAATACAGAGGTACCCGTGAAGCAAATTACGGAGGTGGAGACTGACAGTTGGATCTTATCAAGCGGAGAATATCGCTTTCCAAAGTCTGCGCAGAAACATCCTGGCCAGCCGTCCTTGTTTACTACTGAATAGTGCCTGTGACACTCCCCATTATTCTGATTGCCCGTTCCTGGATCTATCCCTAAAAAGGCAAAGAAGAAATATTGGTGCGACAGACACCCTAGTCAGCTTAGACCCTGAGACACTCCACCGCCTTGATGAACCCTGTCAATGGTATACATTTCCAACCAATCGCGTCTTGAATAAGTCAAAGAAAGAGGCAAGAGCGGGGATGCGCTTTCCCAATCGAATGATGCATCACCCTGACTATTGACCCTTTTCACTTTCTCGGTTTCCCCCCTTGTTCGTTCTTTCCTTTGAGATCCTTATGTTTCCTACTACGTACAGGCAGAGTCCGCTCCCATTACAGTGCTGTATAAACCGCTAAATCACAGGCTTGACGAATCAACGGAGCAGGCTTCCCGAACGCTTTCTGTACGATATATTGGATTCCTTCCAATCGCCATCGAGAATCACCTTCTCAGCGCCTGATGTCGCCTCCATTTAACTCTGTCCATGAGAAACCCAGCGAGTCTGTCCAGCTGCCCCCGTGGTGGCTACTGAATCAAATTGCTTGAAACATTTCGTAGAAGACTGTTCTACTCGGTCATTGGTGCTTTGCATCATTTATTGATTCTGTACTCCGTACAGAGGTACCTTCGTACGATACATAGCAGCTCTGTAGTGGGTCGTGGCAGACACGAGGGAGCGGAGAAAAGGCCGCCAGAGAGACTTGTGTAGTGGATCCCGGAATCAACGATCTAAACTGAATGAACTCCCGCTGTCACTGTGCTTGAACACTCCCATCGCCATTTGCCTTGACAATGTCATGAGCCAAGAAGTCTCCACTCCTTGACTTCTCCACAAGACGTCTTTTGTCTCCCTCTTCTCTCTCGGTTGCTTTGCGTCTGGTTCGATTGTAAAGCACACCGGCGTCCCAGCAGAAGACGGACCTCGTTTTCCCTCTCCTTTTCCCCTACATGAACCGTGCTCTACGAGCATTGCTTTAACCAAATTTATCCTACATATGTCCTGACCCCGGCCCAACGTCAAGATCAAATCATAATTGACGCTGCTAAACAACCGAGAAGACGGGTCACTTATCCTTTGCAAGGGGAGCGCAGGCGGTCCACCACATCGGCCACCGTTCGCCGTCGAAACGAACCATTTCCGAACGCATCCTCGAAGTGAGGCAGGCTGCGTCCCAAGCAGCGACCGGTCTTGCATCTTGCATTTCCCTGTGCCGTCAAGCTGCCACTTCCTTCTCCGTGTTATTTGGACGCAGCGAGTGGCTTTGTCGACCTTCCTCTCCCTCGAGGTTCTACATCTCTCCTTTCCTTTTGAGGGTGGGAGGAAGAGGGTTTCGGTGAAAACAACATCATAAACGGTCACGACCTGCCACTGCATCCATACTTCCCACACTTCCCCGTATCAATAGTTTGTGAGTGTGGTGTAGGTTGGTCCTTGTTTGATCGCCCATAGCGGCCCACTTCTTGCTTCACGAACGGCACGGCATCGGTGGGCACAGTTGAAGGCTGACATACCCTGGTCACCTCCACCCTCGTTGATTTTGTCTTCCCCCTAGAAGGCAGAGGGTACGCCGGGTTGATCACTCTCATTTGAGGCGATATCCTTATTCAAAGGTCACATTGCTATGCTACTTTTCGCAGCTCGAGGCCTTTGATACGGAAGACACTCTCCTCTTTCGTGCTCCCTGTCTCGGTGGGCTATTCTACCTTTCTTTCGCTTCTTGACTCAATCTGCGACGCCTCAAGGAAGGCTTCCACCACTGAGATTCTATCACCACACGAGGCTTTTGCTCAGCTGGTTCTGTCCGGAACAAGCCCGTCATCACATTCTTTTCGAATCCACGCGCGCCCGTGGGCTTCTAGAGACTCGAGAAAGCAGCTCTTCAATAACACATTCGCGACGACGCGACAACAACGATATGGCCACCATGAAGTAAAATGATGCTTTTCAAAGACATTGTCACGCAGGCAGAGTAGGAGGTTATTGTCATTTGATCATTCTGGACATTCGTTTTTAAAAAGGGAAAGCATCCCTTTCGCTCGACGCTTTAAGACACCTTGACACTAGCAGTATCCGTCTTTTATACCTGTATCGATATGCTTCTTTAGTCCCAATTTCGGACCATTTCTCCCCAAGAGCCTTTTGTCCATCGTTGGTCTGTTTGGAAAACGGACACCCCAAAGGTCTTTTGACCTCTAGACTTGCCATCAAATTTTCCATAATCAACATCATTATTCGAGATGGTTGCTCCGATACCACCAGTCGCCTTACGCGACCACTGTTCGGTCCTTAACAAGAATACACTTTACGTCTATTCCCCAGATGCTCTTCAATCCATCTCTTTTGAGGAGGGAGCTGAATGGAAGCAGCTCCCAATGGGCGTCTCCGTCACGGGCGCACGATGCGTCCAAGCCGTGCCCAACGGAGATGACAGCCAGTCAGCCATGTATATCGTCGGAGGCTCGACAAACGCCACGATGACCAATTATTCCGGCCTCCAACGATATTCGTTTGCCGAGAACAAGTGGGAGACCATTTGGCCAGCCGTGCAGGTCACGCAAAATCGGCGGAATCACGGCGCTGCGTATCTCAACGATTCTTCATCTTTGCTAGTTTATGCAGGCTCTCAGAACGGTTATAGCGGCCCATCGTCTGAAACTTTTGTTATTTCCACGAACCCTCCGTACAGTGTCCAAGCCTTCAGTTCAGACGCGCCGCCGGCAGTGATTCCTATGGTCTTGCCTTGGAACTCTAGCCATGCAGTCATGGTCGGAGGCAGCACGTCAAATGCTGAGGTCTTCACTTTTGACCCTGGCAATGGCTGGAGCGACCTGGGTGTCAATCTACAGGAAGGACTGCCCGACTCCTCACAAGCACAGAGTACCGTCGTCCAGGGTGACGATGGCAGCCGCGTCCTGGAGACGTATGATTTGGCTGTGTCGCCGAACAGAGTTTCGCGGGTTGTGCTTATGGGTGCCAACGGCCAGAAAGCAACCGCTGGACAGTCCGTCGGCGATGCTACGTCCTCTTCCACTACTTCCTCACCAACGTCGTCGCCAGTGAAACGCGATTTAACCTTGGAAAACTGGCCGCCCTATAACGGAACGCTCGCGCCAACCACAACCCGTTCCGGCTTCGCTCTTTCCCAAGGGTCAAATGGTATCGTAGTAATTTCCGGCGGTGATGACCAAGATCCGTTATCCATTTTTAACCAGACGGGCAATGCTTGGGTCAATGCAACGGAGCTGTTTAACGGCGCGGCTGTGAAAACTCAGAACACCCTGAATCCTTCTAATCCCACCACTTCCTCGTCCACACCGACGGATAGCGCAGCGGCTCACGCAAGTTCTGGAACTGGTGCCGCTCAACCTAAATCCGGCCATTCTAAAAGCATGACCATTTTAGGCGCTGTTCTTGGTACGCTCTTTGGCCTGATTGCCATCTGTATCCTACTATTGTTTCTCATCCGCTGGAAAAGAAGCCGCAAGCAAACCTCAGGCGACCTTGGCCAAAAGGCTTCTTCTCGTAACGAGAAGAATCGCTTGAGTTTTGCCGATCGGGGTGCAAGCTTTATGAAAGAAGCGGGTTTTTCACCACCCCGGGGTCATAAGCCAGCAGAGTCAATGGACTCCCAAACTTCGCTCGCGATTATATCTGGATGGGCAGGAATGGGACATAAGCGAGGCTTGTTTTCAAAGGGAAGCAAAGGCTCTCTCCGCGGGAGTTGGTTGTTCACCAAGAAGAAGAGCCCGTTGAATCCAGATGCAGCTTCCGATCACAGCGCTGCAGAGAGAGGCATTGCTTTATCCCCCACAGGAGCTGCTGCGATGCCCGCGGCGCGGGCTCCGATGGCACGACCGCCACCGCCCAACGGTAATGAGAGATCACGAAACTCTGGATGGAGTAAATACTTTGCTGGTAATAGCGCGACAAACCTGGCTCACCTCATGCCCAGCGCTTCAGCTGTAGGACCGCGCCAGTCGACGTACACGCAAGATTCTCAGTCACATTATAGCGAGTCTCGTGCTCCGAGCACCATGCCGCACAGGTCGGCTGAGGTGCCACCGCTCGATTTGCGTCGTTATGGTTCTGATCAAACTTTGAGCCAAGTAACCAGCGGCAGCCCCGTCCTTGGTCACTCTTCAATGGACCTCTTTCGGGGCCGGGGTGTTGCGGTGAGCGAGGGTCTTACTGCACACATTTCGCGACGGGGTTCAACAGGGACAGCATCCGATGTCTCAGATGATGACCTCCACGCAAGTTCGCATAACGCATCTCCGGAAGAGATGGCTTGGACACCCGTATCTGGCCCTAGCTTTGACGTACGGCCACCCAGTAGTATTTACACAGACAGTGTCAACCGCAACTCTGCAGTTACTATCTTCCCTCGAGGCGTGGCCGCATCATCGTTTCCTTTTCCGCCGCAAGGTAATGGCTCGACGGGCGGCCTTTCTGTGCCAGGTGCGCGGAATAACTTTGAAGGAAATAGCAACTTCGTCGGTCATCCGTCGGAGTCGCAACACAATCAAGATTTCAGCTGGTTGAACCTCGGGGACGTGCGGAAGGTGTAGTTATGAACGATGCCTCTCTACTCGCAATCTCCATGGATAATCAGTTTATATTTTTGTCGTCTGATTAGCACGTGTTCATAACGATTCTGCAACATTTGCTGTGCATTTGAAGCGATTCTTTGTACTGTTATTTTGATTCAATTCGCTTCTATTGTGGAATTCATTGGTAGCAGAGCGCCACACACATGCAGAGCATATTCGGAGTTCCGTTTTGATGCTTAAAAAGTGCTTTGACTAGCATTTTTTGCCTCGTTGTTGTGCTTCTTATGTTTGAGCTTTCAATATCCCCCGGCTGCTTGCGCTCTTAATTGTAGCGATCTAAATATTGATTTTCGTGGTCCGGTTTTGACTCAATTTTAGCATTTCCATACTATTTTATCATGTTTCTTTCTCGATCATGTGTGCTTGCCTAATCTGCAAGGACAGATGAATCTGTATCTACGGAGTAGAATCTAGAGGGTAATCTATCTCTTTCCACCGATAATTGGCGACAGTGGATCCCATTTTCCTGGTGTTTACTTGCATCCTTGCTGAAGCGTTGAAGCTGGAAAGGTTTTTTCCGATTTTCGAAGAAGGGCTTTATGTAAACCAGCGTGCCATATATGCTCTTATCTTATTCCATAAATTCTCTCGATCCCGTCACTTTTTAGGAACGCAATAAACTGAGTATGTTTTAGGTTTCGAAGCCGGGCTGCTTGTGCCGGCTGGATTTTCAAGCATTTGCTTCTTCCTTGAACTTTATGCCATGACGATTGGGATAGAAATAATCAGTGGAGAAAGCGGGTTCGAGGGGCCTTACCTGAATACAGTTTGCTTCCGCTAGGCCTGTCATTTTGAGGCGGCTCTCTGACTTTGGGGTTTGTGCGTGCTCCGGCTACAGCTTTCATTCGGGATATAAAAGATCGCATACGGAAGGATAGATGAATAGGGATGGATTTATAACTTGCATTCAAAAGAAATGGATGCAAATGCTTTGAAGTCTAAATATCCCATATTTGAATGAATAGAATTGACTGCATTGATGAACATTGAGTGACAACAGAGGCAATATCTGTAAGAGGATGATAGATACTTTTGGAAAGATAAAAATGCATCCAGGATTGAACTGGTGAGCACTTTTCATTCAATGTAATGAGCAACGAATAGATGCTTAAAGCAAAAAAAAGGGGCAAATTTAACGCCTCGTCGGCGTCAAGGGGGTATTGAGTCCTTCGGCTTTTGTATCAAAGAGAAGAAGAAAACAGAGGAAAAGAAGATTATCCATTTGAAATTAGCTTTGTCAATCAGATCGTCCAAATTATGCTTCAAAGCTGCCGGTTTGTCATGACGCTTGATCGAAGAGCGATTCTTGGCGCTCTACAAGCGGCAAACCCGCAAAAGTTATCCTCAGTGACCGCGGTCATCAACAACCACAGATTTTTCTTAAATTGGACATCTTTTGTTGTCGCTCATCATTTTTAGGGGCGCAAGGTGTGGAGTTCGTTGATTTCAAAAGGGTTTGACGGCCTTGAGAGGACATCTCACGTTGGCCGTCCGAACAAGGGGCACTGGTTTGGCGACGCACTAGCGAGGTTTTTACCCTGTACCAAAAAGAGACACCACCTCATGAACATCACGAAACAGCCACAATTATCGTCGCCGGACACGAAAGAGCCCCGACGCGACTTCAAAATGGCGGATAAACTACTGTATGTCACTTTGCCATGTTCAAGATGGAAATATTCTAACTCTTGCCAGTAAAGAGAACCCTTTGCGGGCAGTCCAGGTCGAAGCCTTGGTAGGTTCACTTGTCAAACGCCTCGAATTTTTTCGGAGACTGCCTCGGAGTACCTTAGGCGCTAATCAGATTTTAGGTGGTTATGAAAATTATCAAACATTGCTCACAGACATTCCCAACTACCGCCACGGGATCCATCGTCGGTTTGGACGTTAACGGCACCCTCGAGATTACCAACTCTTTTCCCTTCCCCGTCGTTGACATTCCCACTCTCGACTCTCACCATGAATCTACTGCCGCTTCAAATTTTGCTGCGGCTGCGCCTCGTGCCAAGGCAAACACCGTTTACCAGAACGAGATGATTAAGATGCTGCGAGAAGTTAATGTCGATGCGAACAACGTTGGCTGGTACACGAGCGCCAACATGGGCAACTTCGTCAACCCTCATTTTATCGAGAACCAGTTCCACTACCAGAAAGACATCAACGAGCGAACCGTCGCGATCGTTCACGATGTCAGCCGCAGCTCTCAGGGAGGCCTCAGTCTTAGAGCATTCAGGCTCTCGCCCCAGTTCATGGCTGCTTACAAGGAGGGCAAATTCACTACTGAGAGGTACGGCGTCTTCTTTCTCTTTGGTTTGGGAAGCCATGCGCAAGTTTAGAATGCGTCGCTGACTTTCAAATTAGTCTCCAGAAGAGCAACATGAGATACCAGGATATCCTGATCGAACTTCCTTTGACGATTCACAACTCTCATCTTCTCACTTCCTTCCTCCACCAACTCCCGGAGAAGCCTCGCACCGGCGAGCTCGAATTCCCCTCGAACCTTGCCGCATTGTCGCAGGGACCAAATGTCCCTCAAGCGCCCTTGTACCCCAACTTCGACTCTCTTGATCTTGCTATCGACCCTTTTCTCGAAAAAAATTGTGACCTCCTCCTGGACAGCATCGAGAACCACCAAACCGAGAACAACAACTACCAATACTACCAGCGACAGCTTGCGAGAGAGCAGGCCAAGATCACCGCTTGGCAGCAGAAGAGAAAAGCGGAGAACGCTGCAAGGGCTGCGGCCAAGCAGCCCGCTCTGCCCGAGGACGAGTGGACGAGACTTTTCAAGTTGCCTCAAGAGCCTAGCCGCTTGGACGTGCTTCTCAACTCCCGCCAGGTCGAGCAGTATGCTAGACAAGTGGATGGTTTCACCGCCAGCGTAAGCGCCAAGATGTTTGCTGTCAAGGGAAATTTGTTGCCAGGAGACGTGCAATGATGAAACGACAACTACGATGATAGTCTTTGTCCTCTGAATCTGGGCTTTCTTTTCTGGTCCCGTCGGTTCCAAGTGACGGCTCTCTAGCCGAGGGTCCGGCGTTAGAATAGGATTCTTAATGTCATGTTCTTTTGTAAATCGTCCTGTTTTGTCACAGTATGGTAGATATCAAAATTGTGATTATAGAAAGATACTCTGTGCTCTTATGCAGACAAGAATTGTGACAATGGACTTCTCCTGAGGCAATAGCATAGGGCCCCATTCGTTACCCGGAGAAGATTTACTCCGCGCTAAAGGCGGCACGAAGACTGGAAGTTTAGCAGCGTTAAGCGGCGATGTGCCAAGGCTAGCGTCTCCGGCAGCTTGACTCTTGAATAGACCTTCATTTCATTGCAGGTCTGGGCAATTATTCATTAAAAGGCTAGAAATATGAGCTCTCGGTATAATTGACGGCTTAGAACCAACTGGGACGTGGCTGCCAACAAAGATTTGTTGGATTGGCATACCATATTGGGAACCTCCTTGAATTGCATATGTATCTTGCTTTCTTGCTCACTTCTTTGCTTTCTCTATCTGCTAATTAAACGGCCAAGCCTGGCGTCGATATTTCATGCTCGGATTTCAACCGATAAGAGATACGAAACGAGCTTTGTGATTGGGTCGCAATTGGGGCGGCGTCTAAGATTAATGGACGACCCTGAACTTCCTGCCGCTTTACGCACTTTGCAACCTGCGGCGCTCCAAGCACTTCGTCACCCCCACGCGCAGAGCTCGCAGATCTTAGCTTCGCAATTGGCCCCGGAATTGCGAGCGCTCAGCTCCAGTGATCCTTTCCAGCGTCAAGTGCAGGCTGAATTAGCGTCAGCTTCCACCATTCGAGGGCATAGCCAGCACCATATTCATCCTCGTCAGATCTTCGAATCAGCTCAGCCCCACCACTTCCATCCTTCTCAGGCGCTTCGTCAAGCCCACGCCCTGCCAAATCACACACATGGCGCCCGGCATTTCGGCATTTTTACAACAGACTCAAGCCCGGAGAATCAGCGAGCGAGTCCACAAAATGCCGTTGAGCGCACGCAACAAGAAGAGAGCTTGTTCCCGAGCCCGGAGAATACTGACAAAAGAAGCCAAGGTCATTTCGACAGCCTGAAAATAGTTCCAAACCCGCCAAACCTGGGAGTGTGGAGACAGAAGCTTTTTGATGTCGATGACACAATAACCTTAACTGAAGAAGAGTGCGTCCTATTTGTACTATTCCTGCTCTATTTTCCAAATGCTAACAAGGCGCGGTCAGTTTTCAAATCTATTTTCCTCATATCGACAATGTGTATTCCCACCGTTCAACACAACGATACAAACGGAAACCATTCGTTTCTCATTACTGGGATTGTCGTATGAAAGGCCGACCGCCAGGAACACCAAAGTCGGATGACCCTAATAAGAAGAAAAGGAAGCGCACGGCTCGCCCAAGGGATTTATGCGATGTCAAAATCAAGATTACAGAGTTCTTTCAAGATGCCTTGCCAATTCCCAATTTCAGTCAACCTCTCCCGTCTCACCAACTTGATGCGGACAACAGTGGTGATTTCTATGCATCAGATCATGCTGGAAATCAACAATCCCAAGTGCCTTTTGGGATGCTGTCACCCACTCCGCAAAGTAGACTTCCAAGCCAGTTACCGTTACGCGGAACAAGATACTACACGATTCAGAGGGTGAACGGTAATGGCGGCAACGGTAAAGGTGATGGAATAGCTGGCCCACATAAACATACACTGGAAGAAAGCGATCGTATCAAGAAGAATAGTGTCATGAGGCACATTCTCAAAGAAGAGCGAGAAATCAAAAAGGTTCAGGTGAGTACTTATGCAACGTTAAATCCCATACATAGCCCATTTGATGATGAGGTCGTAAGCGAGACATCTTCCCCCGTCTCACTATTTGACTCGCTCTCTGTTCCAGGGCAGCTTCTATTCATTACAAAAGCTTTCTCTTCAATACACAATTGTGATCATTGGGGATGCCACAAACGGTGGAGATAAAATCTCTGTTCGATCTCTACTCCAATGCTGTGACAGACTTTGCCTATGATCATTTTGCCCTTCGTCCGCGGATTCCGATTATCCGCAAACCCCTCGTTCGTTACGACATTTAGTCATCACTCCTCCCCCAAGTCCATTCCAAACCCTCTTAAAGCGATACAAACTCCGAGCCTCGTGGAGCTTTCATATCGCACATTGGCAACTATGGCTGACAAGAAGGACTCGGAACAGAAAACTTACCATAAGAAAGCTACTGGTGATGCACTTAATACAGTCAAGAAACGCTCCAAGGAGCATGATCTCAAACTATTTGGCGGTTGCTTTTGGTGAGTTATCCTCAGCCATTCACTAGACCCTGACGTCATACCTTATCACATCTTATCAGATTACTGACCCCACAAATTCGCATTATGTAGTCCCTTTGTGCAACGAGTCTGGATATCTCTGGAATTGAAGGGTATCCAATACCAGTATATCGAAGTGGATCCATATAAAAAACCGCAGTCATTACTGGAAGTCAATCCACGTGGCTTGGTGCCGGCACTCCGCCATGGCGATTGGGGTTGCTATGAGAGTACAGTTCTGATGGAATATGTGAGTAATCCTTAAATAATTCAAAAGGGGGCATCCATTACTTACGCCTTCTGTCAGCTTGAGGATCTCAGCACAGATCATGCGCTTCTTCCGCCTAATGATCCTCAGCGTAGAGCCTATTCCCGTCTATGGTCGGATCACGTAGGTTTTTGCAGGTTCACACCTTTTCAAGTAGCCGTTCCTAATTCTTCTTCCAGATCAATCGGCATATCATTCCCGGGTTCTATCGCGTGCTGCAGGCTCAGGAGATGGAGAAACAGATTGAGCATGCGGGGAACTTAAAGACAGAGATCTCAAAGCTCGTCGAGGCATCTGACCCGGAAGGACCTTTTTTCCTCGGTCCTGCGATATCTTTCGTTGATGTACAATTCGCACCTTGGATTCTACGGCTACGACTAGTCCTCAAGCCTTACCGCGGTTGGCCAGATCCCGAAGAGGGTAGCCGCTGGAGCAAGTGGGTTAAAGCCATTGAAGCTCACGAGGCGGTCAAGGCCACCACAAGTACTGATCAGTTATATATCGACAGTTACGAGCGTTATGCGGGTAAGTTACTGGATGCTATATTCAACAATTTGCATTGATGAATTCCCCCAATGTGTCTTTACTATACTTATATTATTTACTCAGAAAATCGGCCAAACACATCCCAAGTCGCCAATGCTATCAACGCCGGAGGCGGATTACCCTGATCCTGGGGGCTTGTTTCTCATAAGTGTTTAGCCTGCATTCTGTAACGGTGTACCGATAGCCATTTCGACGAATATAACCTCCGGACATCATATCTTTTAGGGCTTTTAAACGTGTCATCATAGTGAAACATTTTGTTGCAATCGCAATTTGGCAAATATTCGGTTTTTTAAAAATTTATTTATTTATTTATATTTCGCAATGCTCCGTTTTATGTTTTATTTGTATGCACAGACGCCTGAATTATGATACTGAATCAAGGGCCTTTTCTTGGGGCAAGAGAAGCACCCGCTTGGCGGGTTGCTTGCGGTTCGCCCAAATTGGAGCTCATGATCCTAAACAGCCTGTCGCTCGTCGGATTCTTTCTCTGCAAGTCTCCCAAATTCATCACATATCCCTTCCATCCGCTTACTGTACTCTCTTCACAAAAACTTCAAGTAAGATATTATATATGACATATACATACCCCACAACATGAACCCCTTTACCACAGGATTTCAACTATTATGATAACTCACAATCATCCCTAAATATAAACAATCTATAAAATAATTTAAGCTAACAGGGCAACCTCACACACAAAATCGAAAATGGATATGGACCCAAATATTGATACAATTCGATCTATAAGTCCAAACATATTTAAATTGGGTTAAGACAAAGGTTACCTAAATATGATACATAGAAAACCCGGCTTAGAAAAGAGTAGTAAATTTGATCAAATCCAAAAAGAATAAATCTCGGCCACTATCATTATCATAGCCAGTCGCTCTCTTCATACGCGCTCGACGAGTGGGGTTTGTACCACGGTCTGTCATGATTGTTGTTGATTGTCCCCATCTGCCACGGAAATTTCGATTCTTGTGAACATACCGGAGTAATTGCGGTCTGATAGGTGCCATACCAAAAATGGAATCTAGTAAACAAGTCGCCGGGGAATGAGTGGTTATTTCGGACTCGCGAAGCATCGAATGGATCCACGCTGGGATTCACTACGGAGTGATCACCGATCTCATCTGATCTGATCCAAATCAAGGCACACACACAATGGAAACAACTAGGGCGGACCATGGACAAGCTAACATTGGAAAGTTGGTACGAGTAGGCCAGGGACCATCAGACTTGTCCAGCATCGTCTGATTGCCGGGTTTAAGGCCACTACTGTTCCGCGGGTATTGCTCGGACCAGCCGGCTCGGTTGGATCCAATCTCCTCTCCTCACCTACTCTCGTACGGTTCGCCGCATTGTCAGGTCAAATCATCAACGCTGAGGTTTTCCCCACTGTCATGGGCATAAACCTTGTGCTCATATAATCCCAGAATGCCGTGCATGCTTAGCCACTTTCTTTTGACAGTAGCTACTTTACTGAATTCCGTTATTGAAAGTGGTATAAATTAAATATGACGTCACTAAATATTGAGAAAAAAGGAATACATTGCGATTTACGTTTCGGAAACACATTAGCCTGTTATCTATTGGTTGACTGGGTTCTAAAGCTCCCAGGGTATTCTACGATGGGCCGACATCGAGATCTTCGATGGATGGAAATGGCTGGTAAGTTGCGAGACCGCTGTGATTCGATGTGATGGACCGCGCAATCAATGAAAGTTAGCTCTCAAGTTAGCGGTCGCACAAGCCAGCCAGTGCGGTGGGAGTACCTGAACCCCGATGGAAAAGAGTAAAAGCCCCCGATCACGATCATAGGGAATTTTTCACCACATGCGAGTGGGTCTACATCTACGGAGTACGTGAATGGCCCAAAGAGCAAAGTTAGCTAAGATACTACTGTAGTCATCACAGCCGGCCTCTTGGACAATCAATCATTCAGATAATGAGCTGAGCAGCAATACAACTTGACGACCCATCATCAAGAAAGCAAAACCCGGTCGAAGTATGACAAAGCAGGGCGCCTTTCCCGCCTTCACTCGATCCCTGGCTCTGCTTATCCGCTCCGAGCGAGGGGACCCTGCCTGTTCGGCGCTAATATCCTAGATAACCGTTCGGAGAGGCTGCAGTTTTATCCTTGCATCTCGGATGTTAAAAGTCATGATAAATTATTTCAAAGCGTAGTAGAATTCTGGGATGTTGCAGGTTGTTTACGATCTATTGAAGTATGAAACAGCGATAAGTGCAAGCAAGAAGAAAGCACATGGCGGTGTCAATAATTGTTATGGACAACAACATTTCCCGAGGCTTCAAGATCGCCATCACCTAGCGTAATCAAGTACACCGTATAAAAAACCAAAAAGACAGGCGTGGGACTGAGTCGATGGTCTGTGACAGCGTGCAGGCACGAGTTCCAATGTTGTCAGATGCAACGCTGCCTGCCTCAACCTTGGAATAATCCCTTGTTGAGCCACGGGTGTTAGCTGCCTTTCATAGAGCAACGGGTATCGGGAGAAGCGGAACCGCGGCCTAGAAGTTTGACCGCTCCCCGGCAGAGTCAGAATGGCTAGATTGTTGAATGGTTGATTGTTCGGACAACGTGCAACATGCGAAACTATTGTCAGCCCCCACGATATCAGGTGCATTATTGACTCGAGTTATTTTACAACCCATGCAAGGCTGTATATGCAACGTCGACTAAGGCAACCCGTTTTCGCTTGAATGATGCATGACTCGACCTTATGGGAACCCTGTGCCAGACCACGAGTCAAGTGCCCAAAGCAGCGAGTTTGGGGGCTGCATGCGATAGCGGGCGGCAGGCACTCACGAAGTTGATCCCGGAGCAGAAGGCTTACAACCCATGCGTGGAACTGCATACATTGCCTGAGTGGAATTGGCTCCGCTGGCGACTCCGCGTCTCCGAGCAGCCAACGACAACCCAAGGGCGGGTAATTCGCGTGCAAATTTCCAAGGACGAAAGGGCCCTGCATACCAGAAACATCTCAGGGGACGCCTTGGAACTGAGGAGGCTCTCACAGGGTGAGACTGAGACGACATCATCGTCACCAAGTGCATAGTCCTCATCGACGATCCACTCAACACGGATTCAAAGAACACGCAGAGTTTGACCCTGATTTTTTTGGATCAGGGTCCGTCTCTCGTGTGCTGAGCCCTGTGGAGACGCGCTCCCGCAACAAAACAAAACTTTTACGGCTCCTTTAGGAGCTTTTGTCGACGGCACAGAAATCGTTCACTCGTTCGCAAGTTTCGGTGGGTAGACGGGGTGGGTAGGTGCGATGATGCCGCTGGAGAACGATGGATGGCATAGCAATGACGTCTACAGGTTGGGGGAGTAATCGGGAGCTCAGCCCAAGATCGGACTTTTCTGGGATTCCCCCAATGTCAGGGTCCCGCACTGGGCCAAGGAAGTGTTACGGAAGAGTAACTTACCGACCCATGTCTGAACGCTGGCTGCAGCTCGTTTTGGGTTCGCCGTTTAAAGTGGAGAATGGGGCCAGGGACTCCACAGACCCCTCCTTGGCCATGAGGCTCTCGCACAACAATCCCACGCGGATTATTCCTAACCGCACCACTCTCTCACACGGCACACCTTTCTCTCTTCCTGTGGGACGGAAATATTGGCCGGCCTAGCCGAAGCTAGCGTTGCGATTTTCGGCAGCGCAGGGGCTCTCTTGCCGCGTAAATAATTGGTTTTTAGCAACAGCAACGCCAGACAAGTACTGCTTACTGGTGGATGCTATTGCTTATTATTATTGACTGGTATTAGAACAGACTCAGCTAGCTATGCACCTAAGCTCATCATCATTATCACGTTGCAGCCTCAACTGAGTTTATGCCCCTCCCTGTTATGGCCCTATCACGCATGTGTCATGCTAAAGGTGCGAATTATCGATTTCTCTATCTTCTTTGGCGGACGGAGAGAAAAAAGGTTTGAAAGAGGGGTCAAAGCTTCTAAAGCAATGGTTTTACGAAAGCACGGATAGACGTAGTAGGCTTTTTATCATTTCCAATCCCATTCGTCAGGACCATTTTCCGACATTTGAGTTGCGACCGAGGGCTCTTGGACCCTTGGGCCATGACCAAGAGAGATTGTGTGTAAAGAAAGCGAAAGGCAAATGGACCCTCAAAAGCGACGGGTACCAAGGTTGGGTGCCTCTTCGGCGATTTCGGTCATGTTGACCCCTCGGTAAGAGACTTTCCCCTACAATTGCAGGTTTCCTCTTTGACCTTTAGGCAAAGTCACTTCCAGGACCTATCCTGGTTGTTGGCGTTTCTTAGGATCCGGACCGGTTGTTCGGTTGTGGCACGGGCTACCGGAGTACGCAGGCCTTACCTACCTAGCAGTTGTGGTTCAGATGGTCCAACTGGGTGTTTTGTTACGCGTGTGAGAGCACTCTATGTAATACCGTAGCGTGCTAATGGTGTAGAGTACGGAGTACATGCAGCACAAAGCAAATCCAGGGTCTGTGGCTGGATGAGCGAATTTAGTCCTTCAGGCATTATCATGGCCCGCCCAGCCGACTATGGATCTGCTCCTCAGCTGCCAATAAGGCGACCCACGGCGGAGACGCGCCAAGCTCTACGATCGCGAATCGAGCAAGCAGTGAAAGGAAGTTTTTCTTTTCAGGGTCCTCTCTGACAAATTGCTCTCCTGCTCTCTGCTTACACATGAAACAGTTCTTCTTTTCAATGAGAAAACCCCCCCCCTTTCTCAGCGAACTCATCCCGATGGCTTACTCTGTGTTTCCATTTAAAACGCACCGCAGATGCCATGAATAATCACCGTAACTTTTGCATCAGGAAAAGGCGGCCGCGTGCTTTCATTGAAAGAGGGGATCGGCCGGGGAACGGATAACCGGGGACCGTTCGGTCGATCCTGGACAACGTGCGCCGAGAGGGAGAAGATGCAGAAGGGAGGGGGTGGGAAAGGAGTTAAGGCGTTAGGTTGTAGGAAACGGGTTGAGGCAACGAGGCCAAAGGCGCCCAGCGGGGAGGGGCAGATACTCATGGGCTTTCTGCATCCAATCAGGGGAGCGTGATGCGACCGATGGCGCCGACTTTACCGGCCTCTACCAACATGCATCTCGGATGGCGCTCTAAAACACACGCGACTGATGGGACGGACTTAGATGCAATGCAAAAATTGTGTGTCCTCACGGCACAGGCCCCGTCTCTCGCACAACTTTTGCGCAGGGTGGGAAAGCCAATTATCCATTTCGCATCCCTCGACCGGATGAGGTAAATGCTGGGAAGCGAGGGAGGGGCATTGGCTGCTGCACTTTGTCCCTTTGCGGTCAAGCTTCGGAAAACGGGGCGTTATGGAGTACATACAGGACAATTTCCAACCCTTGTTCCTGTCAGGTACTGGTACTGAAAATCTTGCTCGTCTGTCTTCCAATCTGATGTGAGATTCCAAGTATAGGATACATTACGACAACCACTAGTGGGGTCCGTTGCTGGGCGCATGTACCAAAGCAGCTATAACAAGTATGCGATCTGCCCGCATCATAGGGGTACTCGTAGTGCATCTCTCGCCTCGTTACCCTCTCTTTCCCGTTTTGGGGATACCCAATAATGAGGAGCCCAAAAAAGGTCTCCCGATGAAATTATTCATCGGTCAGGGACTTGGCTGAGGTGGGACTAGGGGACCACCCTTCACACCCTGCCTAAGTCGATCGTAGGGTTCGAATTTTCCCTCCTCTCGACCTACTCGCACGTAGTCCGTCGTGACTCCACTGTATCAGCCCTCTAGAAGGGCCCAAATTGGTGGAAAAAAAATTTTAAGAGAACATGAGAGGATGGAACAAGTACCCGCATCCGTGTTTGAAGGGCGCTTGTGTGCCTTGTATTCCTTTCTTCCCTTTTCTTTTTTTCTTCTTGCAACCCCTGCCAGAATGTTACTTTATTGCTAATGTTTCCCCTTGGATCGCCAATAGTTGGCTTGTTAGGAGAGTACTCCGTTAAATGGCACGAATCAATGGACGGATCCCTACCAGGGCCATGGTCCCAAAATTTTGCATTGGGTGATCCCTGACCCTTGGCGCACGGCTACGGAAACCCTTGCCGTGCCAATCTCACCTGCTTTTTATCCCAGTGAATTGAAGGTCGCCCCTACGGCCATGTCTAAACCGTTCGAACGACCGAGAAAAGGCAAGAGAAAAAAGCCACCTTTGACAGCGAACCGGCCTTAGCTTTTGCTGGCCCATCTGCCGAACACCAACATCTCACTGGTATATGCACCACTTTCCCTCTTTCGCACCCACACCCACATCCACCCACTTGTCCTTACACGCGCCTTCCCAACCGGCCGGACAAACTAACTAGACCATCCTGGCCTTTGCGTTCTTTCTGCTGTGTCATCTCTCCACCAAACCACTGAGGGTCCCTCCATCATTGCACCGTCATCTCTACATCTTTTCCCACCCCTTCAATCTTCCCGCCATTCCGTCGCGTGGACTAGCAGCATCTTGCCAACTCTTTTTCTTCATCCCACACTCGCTCGTCCTTTACTTCTCTCCCTTCTCTTCCGTCCTCTTCGTACTTTCCCTTCACCATTGCCCCTTCACCCATTGGCGTCCACTCGCATCACATTCGCTCGCTCTTCTTCAACCATTGACAACCTGGGTTCGTTCAACGCAACCGGCATCGGTGACCCTAATCTTCTATCAACCTCTGCACCGCCAATACAATCACTACAACTTGCCCTCATCTTGATTCTACCCTTTTTGCCAATTACGGTGATTTCTTGGGGTTGGTTGAGCTGGATATCAGTAGCGACAGAATCTCCTGGAGTTAATTCATTGGAGAAATTATTGATATACTCTTACTTCTGCTTCCTGTCAAAAATAGACCAATTATCTTGGACGGCATGAACGGGACCAACGCATCTGGTCGAATGGTCTCGTTGCTCAACGAGGAGCCCTCTCGACCCTCAGTGCACTCGCGCAGTACCAGCAGCATTTCACACTCATCGTTTCGGGATTCAATTTCCCCTCGCCTTTGGGATCGTTATTCACCTTATGCTTCACCTGAAACTCCTGTGCTAGAGCGTCTTGGCTCGACTTCTTCTCTTGAATCTCCTCCGCCGTTGACCCCCATCTACGCAACTGCACCGCAACCCTTCGCTCTGACAATGGAAGCTGCCTCACATCCGGCTCTCGCGTCCGCAGGGCCTCCTCCGTACGCCGTGTCAGCAGCGCGCGACCCTCATATTTACGCTAGCGGTGCAGACGATTTAGCTGCTACGGCTCCCACTGCTCCGCCTTTCTCCCGCACTTCTTCGCTCGTCGAGCCTACCTCCCCGCTCACGCCTGGCACGGCTATTCCGGCGAAGAAAAATAGCTACCCGTGCCCCTACAAGAAGAGCCTCGGGTGCTTGGATACCTTTACAACGTCGGGCCATGCCGCCCGCCACGGCAAGAAGCATACGGGAGAGAAGAACGTGCTCTGCCCCATTTGCGGCAAGGCTTTCACCCGCAAGGACAATATGAAACAACATCAGCGAACCCACGAGACTGGACGGGCAGCCGCAGCCGCAGCGGCTGCAGCCAACGCCGTGGCCGCGTCCGTCAATCCCAACCTTGCGGTTTCTGAGGAGCCACAAGCCAAGAAGGCAAAGACTAGCACCACACGACGAGATTCACGACGGCCCCGGCCTGCTTCGATTCACACATCTTTGCCCATGCACACTCGGCCTGACGAATTAAGTCCCCAGTCTGCGTCTGTTACTCAGCAACCATGGAGCGCCCATGATGATACCCGCGCCCCGTCCCAATATCAACAATGGCCGGCTCCTCAGAGCCCATATTCGGCGACGGAAACTCACCGCTTCTCGTATGATGGCGGTGCGGCCTCGCCTGAGTACGGTGGTGATCCAAGCGCCCCCAAGGGTCTTCATGCTCTGGCGCTCGTTGCCAGTGGGATTAACTTTGACACGGGCGTGATGCGCAATCCTTTGCGCGTCTAATCACTTCTACCTCCCCATCGACTTTCCTACACGTCTTACCAGACCTCGTCCCATCCTTTTCGACTCTGAAAGTATAACCAACGATCCCCTCACGATTGTTAATAGTCATTGGTTCAGTTGCACATAATCATTTGTATCTCAGTTGACCCGATACCATGGGTGTTTCTTCCCGCTATGACGGGATGGGAAACGAAAGGCGCTTATCGGAGTCTTTTTCATTTCATTTCCCCCCCCCCCCCCTTTTTTTTTCAACTGACCTGTGTTCTTTCTTCTCCTCTTACTCGTTACTGTTTTAAACCCTTTTATTATTATTATTCCCCACCAAAGAATGGTTATTATTAACTTTTTTATTCCCCTCTTCATTTCATCATCCCGTACCACGACAAATACCAATGTTTTTTATTACCCAAAAGTTTTCGTCGTACGGGACCCAGCAACAATACATTATGTGGAATCAAACCGATTTTCGGTCTGATGGAGTTTACTCGGTACACGGTCTGGGAATTTTCTTCCCCTTATTTTCGCTCAATCTTCAATTCGCTTCTGATTCTTTTGAAATGATTACCCCCGTTATCCTCACGCTGTTGATGTCACTACTCTTTGATTTTCATTCTTATTTTGGTTTTTCTTTTTACATGTCCTTGCTCATTTCTCATCCTTTTTATCGTATGAGAATTTGCAAACTGAACGTCCATTTATTTTTTTGAGTAACTTTTTTTTTATTTGGATATGATAGGTCAGGATAGGCTAAGGAAAGATTCCCCCTTTTGAAACAATTTTTTCTTGTCTTTTTTTTATAAATTGAATTTGATTCAGATCGATTTGTTTTTTCTTAATTCTCTTATTTCTTTTTTCACGTCTTAGTGATCACATTTTGATTGCCTGTCGGCAGTCATGCGTAATGGTCATGACTGTACATGATTGGGAAATGTCTTATTCGAAAACCTTCTTGGCAAATACCCCCTCCTCTCTTCTCTTCTTTTCTCCATGTTCTGCTATTGTGTCATGGTCTTTTAAATAGAGGCGGAGGAACAGGGGGAAAGGACTTATACATATACACTCATACCTTGGTATTGACCTAGGTATTCTCGTCTTGAATTTTGATTAAAAATGTTAATAATATTCTCAAATGCTCTTTCTTTGACAGTATCATCCGTGACATGTATGTGCTGTGGGTTTTTACGAGATATGGCTTCCTCTCACACTGTTCGTGGCTTCCGCTACTTCTGTGAAAGCTTCTTGTGTGGAGTGGGGGGAGGGGGCGCTCGATATGTACGATCTTTAATATTTCTCAGTGTCGCATCCAAGAAAAGGATTCTTTGCACTTTTGCTTGATTTGAGCTGCGAAAAGGCCCGTTTCCTCCTTCATTTCATGCTATTTAATGCTGATTACTGTGTTGCATGTGTGTTTTTCTAATACAATCGTAAGCCGGGAGAGTTACTCAAGTACAATGTACTCCTCCTCTTATTCGCATCAACGCTGGGGACCCCATATAGAGAGATGAATAGGAAAGGATGAGGGCAGAAAGATGGTGCAAGACAAGCAGCAATAGTGGTTTTTGACTTGCGTTGTGCACATCTATAGCTCCTTTCGTTCTGCCTTTCGTTTGTCTGCCTCCTTGTTCTTGAAGGGAAACCCACTCGTCCGCTTGTCTGCTCCAGTCTTTCTGCTGATTCGACCATTGCTACTTGCAAACAGCACACACCAGAGCGCAATAGCTGCGAAAAGGGCATACACGACGGTGCTCAACGCATACGAAGCTTGTCCGTCGGCAGTCCAGCGGGTATAGCCGTAAAATGCGGCAGCGGCGTGGTAGAAGCCCGTAATTGTAAGGGTGGGTAGCGCGTAGGGCGCCTTGGGATCTTCAGGATTCGTACTTGTTCCTGCTGTGGCAGCTTTAGAGCACAAAAGAAGAAGGGGTTCGTTGATTAGCTTTACGTTGCGTAGGAAAAAAATTTTGTTGCATGAAGGAACACGGAGAGAACGTTTTAAAACGCAAAGTGCAATCGTGGGATAGGGTATAGATGGGGCAAGGTAGGATAAATGGGAGGCATTGGAGCGAATGTGTTCTGCCCAGCAAGATTGGAGTAGAGCGGTAGCAGAAAGAAAAAAAAAAAGGAGAAAATCGTGAAGGGGGCTTACTCTCTGAGAAACTGGACGTCAATGGCACTGAGCCCGTTAAGAGGATCGTCAGCACGCCGACAGTCAGGAGGGCCATGCCGAGAGCGCGACAAAAGTATGCTTCAAGAACTGAAATTCCATATCTTCTGTTAGCAACCTCATTTTGATATCATAATGGGATGTCGATGTGGAATTTTCTTCTTCGAAGAATCTTACCCGTCGGCTCGCGGACCTCGGTAGACAGCATAGTGACGATCAACGTCGGCGACACGAGCAATGGCGTGGCCTGGAGACCCAGCCATGCTGCAGTGCCGTAGGTGTAGTAGTAAAAAACCTGCCGAAAGAAATTCAGTGTCAGCTCTAGAGGAACATGCGAGTGCTGGTGATTCTGGGGGCAATTCAGCTAGCTTAGAGACGAAACGCCGACGTGCTGCGTAGCAACCGTCGGAGTAGGCACTTATAGTGGCTATATGAGTGGGTAGCTTACATCCATTTTGTGATGCGTGTGGGATTCGTTGATACACTAAGGAGTAGGGAAGGCAGGATAGAGAAAGAAGTTCGATGAGAATTGGAAGACAAAAGAAGATGAGCTTCGGGACTCTAGGAGGAAGCTTAGAAAGAAGATGGGTAGCTATGACGAAAAGGCGGTTAAATAAAGCGAGACCTTTCCGTAGCATTTACCTTTGATGCAGTTCCTGGCTAGAGGAATTCCAAGGCACACACGACCAGCCCAGTTGATCCGTGCTCTCAGACCCTGACGTAAATCCCGTCTACCGAGACGCGGGGGGAGAAGGGCGAGTCATGTTCGCCTGGTTTGCGTGGCGTACCGTACTACCGTCCTACTTCTCATATGGTGCACCCCACCAATCAATTTGATGCTTTCCAACGCAACTGACCTGCCAGTAGATCTTGTCTAAATGTACAAAACTTTAACATTGTAGTATATATGCATGGTATCAACTCCGTCATGAATATCTCATCAGCGCGGGCGGCGGCTAGTAATAACCACGCCAAAAATTTTCCATCTTCCCAAAATGCAACAAGCCAGGTAAGAGCATGTGGATATGCACATGCAATCAAACGACATTGTAACGTCCACTTGCAGGCGCTCTGGCTTCGCTGTCCATGGCAGCAGTCGTACCTTCCTTGAGCAATCTCATCAGCTCTCTCATAGCATTGGTGACCACCAGTTCCGTATCGCCTTCCACAAGAATATACAGCTTGGGGTTCTCCCCGGCTTGTGGCTCTTTGCCTGGCCCATAGAAGCTGCCCTTCGTGGTAATCGACGTGCCAGTGGCCTCGAGGATCTTCGCAACATTTGTGCGATTCGTGACGGCCCAACGGGCCTTCTCTGTAGAGCTGTTAGTAAGACTGTTCTGATCTCGGAATGGCAACTGTTGTCAGGGGAGGAGCACTCACGTGGGAAGTCATTAATCTCCAGAGTAGCGTGGAATGCACCAGCATCGGGGCCCTTGTTGTCGATTGGTACGCCAGTCCGCATCTGCCCAGTCTTGCTAAGACGCGAATGGATATCAGCGACGGCTTGACCGACACGATCGAGAGGGTTGTTCGAAGACCCTGCACGGGGGGCTGCTTCCGTCTTATGCACCGTGATCTTGTCCAAATCGATACCCTTCGGTACGCCAGTGGTAGTGGGAGCAGCAGCAGCCGGCGCAGCCGGCGCCTGTGCTGCTGCTGCAGACTTGACGACAAATTCTTCCTCTTTGGTTTCCTCTTTTTCTTCTTCCTCGCCTTCCTCGCCAGTTTTGTATGTCTTGCGCTCTCGATTGCGTGCAGCATCACGTTCCTGGTCGAGGCGCTCAAGACCTTTACCACCGAATCCAGAGCCACTAGCCTTCTCCTTTCCGGCCTTTACTTTCTCGATGAAGGAATCAACGAGGTTCTGAACCGGCGCTGGGACATCTTGACCACTCTGTTTCAGAGCTTTAGCGATATCTACAGAGTACCGCTCCTGTTCAGGCGTAATAAATGTGACAGCCGTTCCGGTGTTGCCGGCTCTACCCGTCCGACCTGCTCGATGGACATAATCTTCGAGATGGTTCGGTGCGTCATAATTAACCACCAGTTTAAGCTGCTTGACATCCAACCCACGCGCGGCGACCGATGTGGCAACCAATATGGGAACAACTCCAGCTTTGAAGTCCGAAATGGTAGAGTCACGATCGATCTGATCCTTACCACCATGAATTGACATGCACGGATACCCTTTGCGCATAAGATCTCGCAGCAAGCTATCGGCAGATTCCTGACGATCGACGAATATAAGGGTCCTGGCATCTTCATCTGCATCATAGAGCTCGCCGAGAAGTTCGAGCAAACGAATGAATTTTGTATCCTCAGCACGAACTTCAACCATTTGCGTAATCTCTGGTGCAACGACGCTGCGACCGCCGACGATAATCTCAACCGGTTTCGCTAACGTTTTGCGAGCCAAAGCTTCCATTTGACGAGGGAAAGTAGCTGAGAAGAGCACTGTCTGCTTGTCCGGTCGAATGTTTGCTAGAATCTTCATGACTTGGGGCTCAAACCCCATATCAAACATTCGGTCTGCTTCGTCAAGCACGACGTAGGTGACGCGTCGTAGATTTGTCACCCTTCCTGAGTTTGCTGCCAGCAAATCAATCATTCGACCAGGCGTGCAAACGATAATTTCGGCTCCCCGTTTGAGGTCCGCTATCTGATCCTTAATGGGTGCACCGCCGTATGCGCACACGGCTCGAAGGTTTAGCGCCTTGAGGAAAGGTCGGCAGTCCCGATGAATCTGAGTCGCTAACTCTCGCGTGGGAGTCATAACTAAAGCCACAGGTCCCTCGAGCGATTCCAATGGCCGTTGATCCTTGATATGTCTGAACATGGGCAGAAGAAAGGCAACAGTTTTTCCAGAACCAGTTTTCGCTACACCAATCACGTCTCTCCCTGACATGATAGCCGGCACCGCCTGGGATTGGATCGAGGTCGGTTTGTCGTAACCTAGCCTATGGATAACGTCCAATGACTGCACGCCAAGGCCAAACTGAGACCATTTCTGAACAGGCTTTGGCACATCGACTCCTCGCACTTTGATGCCATCTAGCTCAAGTCTCAAGTCTGCGACCTCCGCTTCGTTCAGCTCGGCAAGCTCAGAGGGCTCGCTGTAGAAGCTCTTCCGGAAAGATTCATAATCAACTTTGTCATGGTTGACAGTTGGAATGTCCTTCTTCTTCCTTGCTTGTTTGGCCATTGCTAAAATATCGTCTGGGTCGGCATCCACAGCACTGAGGTCAACGTCATCATCGCCAAACATTGCCTCTGGCTCTTGCAATTTACCCTTGGAAAGAGTTTTCGGTTTGGGACCTTTACGAGCTTCCCCAAGTTCAGACATGAAAGCATCGAGAGGATCAATTTCCTCCTCTTCCTCTTCAGCAGCGGGCTGCGCCTCAGCATCCGTCATGGTGACTTCACCATTAGTTTCCGCAAGCTCAGCTGCAGAACTGTCGCCCGACTGGTAAGCACGATTCTGATTTTGTAACCTCTCTTCGCGCTTTTCGGCAGCTGCACGGGCCGCTGCTGCGGCCTCCTCCTCGTTTCCAGCATCCTGCATACCAATGTCCTCGTCATCTTCGTCTTCAGCGTCCACGCCGTTAGCCATCACGGTATCTTCATTGTCCTCCTCACCTCCAGGAGGTGGGGTCGGAAGCTTTTCCAGCTTCTTGCGCGTAGATTCTTCCTCGCCAAAGTCCAGAGTCCGCTTTGGGGCAGCCTTTCCACCTTCAGGACCTAATTTTGTACCAAAACCGAACTTGCCAACGTTTCCGCGACCCTTTAGAGACAGGGATGTGCCGGTTTCTGGCGATTGGTCAGCCAATCTCAACATCTCCTCTGTAGAATATTTAATCAACTTACTAGGGGCGCCACCTGGAGCAGCATTAGTAGTTTCGTTAGCCTTAACACTGGAAGCTGCAGAGATCAAGTTTGTAGATGGCTTAGGAGGTTGAGGAAGGGCCACATCCTCTCCAAGCGCAGCTGCTCCCGACGATGATGCATTTGCCTTCTTGGCTATTGCTTTGGGGTCAAACTTTCCAGCGTAAGGGGCAGGCGCCGCGGAATCAATCGGGGTCGTGGGCGAGATAGGAGTCGCCGTGGTGGTGGGAGGTGCTGTCGCCTTTTTATCCATCTCCTCAAGGAGACTCCGAGCACCACCAGCAGCTTCTAACTCCTTTTGCTTTCGGTCTCGCTCGGCTGCCTGCTTTTTCTTCCATGCTTCCAATTTCGCCAACCGTTCGGCCTTCTTCTCCTCTTCTGTCGGCTTCGTAGGCGTCGGGGGACGGGATGACTGTAGAGCAAATGAATACATCTGAAGCTTGCTAGAAGGCAAAGGGGCTAAACATACATCTCTGTTCTTCACGCTTGATGTTAGACTCGGAGCCCTCTCTTTGCTATCCTCCCGTCTAGCCTTGCGTCTAGAGTCAGCAGAATCATCGCGGCGTCGCCGCGCTCTTTCACGGGAATCATCTCGCCTATCGCGATAGTCTCTTTCTCGGCTTCGATAACGGCGGTCCCTGCCTACATCTCGGTCCCGCGAGCGTCTCCTTTCGCGAGAACGATCTCGCCGACTGGGGCGATAACTATCCTCATCACGGCGGTCACGCCAGTCTAGGGAGCGATCTCTGCGGCGGGAATCACGGTCTCTATAACGTCGCTGTTGTGACATGAGGTTAGTGAAATTGTGTCTGTGTTGGGAAAGTCCAGAGGGACCAACATCAGGGCTTCTTGACCGGCTGCGGCGTCTGTAATGTTTCCCATCATCCCTTCGATCTCTTTCGTAACGGTCATCGCCCCGCTGGCTTCTCTTTCCTGCAGGCGAAGGTGAGCGAGAGTCCGCGCGGCGGGCCATGTTCCCGAACTGAATCGGTGAGTGAGCGTTACTTCAGTGATCCGGCGTCTGTCTCGCGGACTTCTTGGCCCACTTGAAGGCTGCTGTGAGTTTTAAGTTCAGAAGCTTCACTTCAAGTTACGAGCTATGCAGATCAAGACACGGTGCGAATTTCGAATGCGTTCCCGGTACATTCGCGCGGGCTCCTGACGGAAAAGCTCCCACGTTAGAATGTGATACTGAATGGCCAAACTGCGTCAACGCCTCGGACAACATTTGAGAGTTATTGGGGACGATAAAATGCCACCGTACTATTACATAAGCAGCACGGCTGTTCCTTTGAAAGCTGAAAAAGGCTTAGCTCCTAGAATTACGTTTGTGTGGGACTCCCTTGCTTGTGCTTGGACAATACCGCATTTGGAAAGGGCCGGACGTAAGGTCATCCGTTACTTCGGGGTACTGCGCAGTCCAAAATACGTGGGTGAAGCTTTAGGTAGCTGGATTTCTCTTGCCGACTGCTCGTACCCGCTGCAGGAACCACCACCATTACCAGGCTCACCAGCCTCCCCAGCTGCGCTCGCAAGATCAGTCTCCCCTTTTTTGACAAGCATACCGACAAGCTTCTTGCAATCTCTTTGCAATCTCTCGCGCTACAATTCTATTGTTCTCGAGAGCTTATTTTGCAAAGATGATCGGACCTACAGCACGCGTATGTGTGCGAGGCCTGAGGATTAACGTCACCAAAACAACTCGGATCGCGCAGCTGCTTCAGAATCCAAAGCGTGTCCAGGGCGTGTCAACCACCTTTTCTGGCCCACAAACCGCAAAATGGAGTCCTCTGAGCATTCGGCTCCAATCGCAAGCTATTCGATCTTTTGCTACAGCGACAGCAAAACCAAAGGCTTCGAAGAAAAAGACAACAACAAGCAAGAAGACCAAGAAAACAAAGGCCAAGCCGAAAGCGAAGAGTGGTCGTTCGAAGAAGGTATTGACCGAGGAACAAAAGCTTGAAGCACAGAAGAAGAAGGAAAGGGCGCAAATTCGCCAATTGAAAGCTACCGCGCTCGAAGGACCAAAGCCTCTCCCCGAGACCGCTTTCATGGTTTTGAATATTGAGATGAGCGAGGGCGGTAAAGGACTTCGTGCAAGCGAAGCTGGTGAGAGATATAGGTCTTTCTCACCAGAGGAGCGTGAGGTGAGTCCTGATAGTATTCCGAGAAAATCTGTGCTGAAATTCGACTGACGGAAAATACGAAGCGATATGACCGCATTGCCGAGAAGAACAAGGCAAATAACGAAGCCGCTCTCAAGAAATGGATTGAGTCTCACACACCTGAGGAGATCCAGACCGCCAACCGTGCTCGGAGAGTTCTTAGTCGGCGTCTAAAGAACAAAAAGATTCCAATTCTCAAGGATGATCGGCAGGTCAAACCTCCTCCCAACCATTACACGCTGTTTTTCAAGGAGAAGTACAACAGCACCGAGCTTCAAAGCTCTTCATTCACAGAGAGAGGGTTGGCTATTGCCAAGGCATGGAAGGAATTACCTCAGAGTGAAAAACAGGTAAATCTTCAGCACATCTCTTAAACATATGGTATACTAAAGGGAGTCTATCTACAGAAATACATCCAGCAGGCAGAAGCCGAGAAAGAAAAATATCAGAAGGAGTTCAAGGATGTCTACGGCCGCGAAGCCGGATCCAAGGCTCCCGCGCTTACTTAGAGATTGAATCTTTCACACCTGGTTCTTTAAAAGATTCCCGGCGATTAGCGGAATTTGGCAAATGCAACTTCCATGAATGGCAAGCGTTTACGCCATGAGCATTTTCCTGCCCTTCTCAATTCCCAATTTCCAGCGCTTTCTCCTCGGTGTTGAGCTCAGCTAATGCAGGATATCATCTTACTTGCCCCGTTAAGGACCTGTTTGCTTCTTTCTCGGGTTTGTGCCACCAGTTTTGGACGGTGCCAGATCGCAAACTCGAATGTAGAGCATCAAAGGATTTTATGTGGTCGTTTCGACGTCGTCTTTGAGTGTTCACCATTCCCTTCCAAACGCCCCACTCTGACGCCTGTATTATAGCTGCTGTTCAGTAATGCAAAGTTTAGAGTCAGTAAGACTTGATCTTCCGGATTGAACAAACAATTTTCCTCTAACCGCCTAGAAGAATTTGACACCCTGTTGGTCTTCAGACCCGAATACCTGGGCCCTGCCCCGCTTGACCAGAAGATTAAGCGATTTCTGAAACAGGTCTGGGTCCATGCCATGAAATTCTAAGTCATGTCAGCCGCGTCGTACATGAATCACAGCTGCAGAATACTGGTGCAATAGAGAATATGCCTACCTTGTGAAGTAGTCATCTCACCCTCCATGAGCTCGTAAAACGTAAGAACCGTATTCTTCTGACCTGTATCATCGACCTAAGCCGCGAGAGTTGCGTCATCAGTGTATGCTATCCTGTGGTCGACAAACAGTAAATAAACATACCCAGCCTGCAATAAGTTCTGCCCATTCTTCGGGTCTCCTCCAATAAATCCATGCCAAGCTCTTATCTTTCGTGGAGATCCACTCTGCTCGGCCACCACCACCGCCTGCATCCTTGTTTGCCATCCAGTCTAGGACCGTTTGGGCATCGGCGAGGCTTAGTCTTCTGTTCAAAGCGTCATTCCTGAATAAAGGCGTGTCTATCGCATCAACCAATGATAGTCTCCAAGTCCTATGATATTTGCAGTACGATTGAATCAGACCCGACCATGCTTGTAGCTGCGCTTGGCGTGTCGTGGTGTTTGGCTGGAGCGTATAAAACGGTGGGAAATTATATAACGGAGGGTATGCAAAAGATGGTTGGTTCCCGGATGGCAGTGCATTTGCTGGCTCGATTCTTGTTGGTTCACTCAACCCTGTAGGCGGCAGAGTATAGCTTGTTGCAGTCGTCGCAGGAGCAAGGGAAGGCGTCAGTGACGATGCCATGATTTATCAGCAATGAGGTTGGTCATATGATGTTGAACCTGGTCTATTTGGAGATGCCAAGGAAGTGTAATCGCCTGAGCTATGTGTGGGAGATAATCATGTCATTGAATTTGGCAAAATGTTCAATTCGTATCAACCTTTGTAAGAGTCGTGCTCCAGCTAGCAAGAGATGTTTGACGTCGGAGGTCCAGTGTGGACTCCGTTGGTGAAGCGGTGGTAGCAACCGCGGGAGATTCCGTTCAGCCCTACGGACTGGCAGGGGTCCATCAATGAGTTGATACAATAATACCCTAGGTGGTATATTGCATGCCGACTGCTGAAGCCATAACTTAGGTAGGTGTCTAGATATTTTTGCAGCGACGAAGATGTAATATATATAAAGAGACTTTTAAATCGATGCGGCTTTGAAATATTATTACTCGTCTCGCATTTCTTGCCGCGTAAAAACATTCGCGGAAATAAATATCAAACCATGTGTAAAATTTCCCACGTATTACTTTTTATGGTTTTTTTTTTTTGCTTTTAATTTTCAGTTTTCCTCTTCTATTGTTTTCTTCCCAGCAGCAAAAAAAAGAAAAAAAAAAAAAAAAAGGATTAATCGCATTCAAACATTACAGTTGGTATAACACCATGCGATGCTTTGCGACAGTTAAATGTCGCACCAACAAAAGCAAGCTTGGAATGCGTGATATTTGCTTCGATTGAATTAGCATTAATATTTGATTAATGGACAAATGTCAAACCAACGCCAGTTTTGCAAGATTCATGCTCTCATAAATCATTATTGATGCCAAATAGTCTACAATCGCTTTACCGGAGACTCATCATGTCACCAAAAATTATCTTTACAATCTCATCGAACAAAGTAAACGCAAGATGAGTGCTGAAAAATGTCAGTACCTTTCTTCGATGTTGCTTCCTGAGTCGCACTTACTTTAGTCTGTGATTATTTAATGTAGCAAATATTTTCCTACTTGCTGCTTGCGCATTCGTCCGACCCACAACGTTTCCCGCAAGATCGGGGACTAAACTTGCGAGCATGAGACTGGCTCCCAGTTTGCTTCTCGTCTTCTCTGCTGAAGAGCGAGCTTGATTTCCCTTGCGCATTTCCCCACCAGGCCACATGGTATCCTTGACCAGGTTTATATATCTGAGGATTGCCTCTTCTTGTAAAAGTGTCTGCACATTTTCTCGGACTTTCTTTTCGATAGTTCCCCCAAGCAACTGATGAAGCACAACAACCACAGCGCGGCCACGAAGCCAGTTGTTTCCTTTATTGAGCTCAAAAATCTCAAGAAAAATGTCGCATATAGGCTTGACAAATGGCACGATTTCTCGATTCTCAAAGGCGTTCATTTCCTTCTCGGCTTCTTCGGCGGCAACTGGATCCCCGGAAACTGCCGAACTTGTTTGACTAAGTTGTGTCGTTGCGGCGCTGACTAGATTTTGGCCCGCAAGTGACAGCTGATCTAGCACTGGTATGTTGCCAAGAAAGTCTTCCATGCCGTCTGCAACGGAATTGTAAATTCTGGTGACAATGTCACCCTTTTGAGCTTCTTGACCTTCACCATCGGTGGGAATGATCGCCTGCTGTGACAGGAAGGCCCGCAGATCCCTGCTGCTGCAAACATCTGGCAACTGCAGCAGTTCCTACATCAAATGAGCTTGGGTTCTTCCAGTAGTAAATGGTTGCACTTACTCTGAGATAATGCTGAAGAGAGAGCCGCCGCTTGTGGAGGAAGTCTCTCTGTAGCTTCATCACCACCCGCCGTCTCGGGAAGTCGAGTTGTCGAACAGAAGGGTACTTTGCCCGGAGCCTTTGGTGAAGGCTGTGAAACTCGCTATAGCGTCGTGCAATGGCCCAAGTAGCTGCTGGCATCTTTTCTCCAGCATCGCGATGAACTTCAATAACATCTTTACAAGTCAGTTTCAAATCTATTAAGTGGGGAGAATTGTGGATCATACAGAGAGCATATTCTTTCCCTTCGTCATCCGTACCAACTACCACTGATTTAATTTCCACGCCCGAGCGACCATATAGACTATTATCGCTTTCCTGAACAATGTACTGCTGCCTTTGAAGAGTTTTGCGCTGTATCTCGCGTTCCAAACTGGCCCTTGATTTCCGCAGAATTCGCAGCTCAGCATTATTGTTAGTAAGTTCAGCCTTGCGCAACAATGAATCAATGATTGAATCTTGAGATGTAAGCTTTTCAATGTCCGAGGAAAGTGCAGTGATAGCCTCTGTCAAGCCAAGATCTCCTGGCGCAGCTTGTTGGATCTCTTCCTCCAAAGATTTCTCATTATCAGACTCCTCAGGCTCCTCATACTCGTCTGACAGAAAATTGCCTTCCTCAGGAAAGAGATCATCCTCGGAGAAAACCCCGAATCGTGACGGTTCGCTCACAAGCCCTAAGGAGGATATGTTTGGTCTGTTCTTGTCTTTTCTCGGACCAGTAGGTGCTACGGTTACACTATCCAGGCTATCGTTATCTTGAAACAAAGGCGCATTAGCTGGCGGAGGATCAAATAAAGATCCGCGAGAATCTTCCAAGCTTGGACGCTGCTCCATAATGTCATTCAGTGCAGCCTCCATAGCTTCGACCACCTTTTCATTGGCACCAGCACCTGAATCTTTCGTTCCCGCTTCTCTTTCGAAGCTGCTTCTTGAACGAGCAAGAGGGTCATTGTCATAATCATCGTCAAATAGAGGCGAAGAAGCTGTACTTTCGAGTGAACGCCGCGGAGGAGCCAGCTCCTCCGACAGCCTTGCGATAGCTGTTAAATCTGTTGATGAGAGTGCCTGGCGTTGAAGCTCTGAGCCCTTGCTATTCATCCTGGGCGGGACATTGGCCAGTGCTGAATACTTGGCTCCCGACATCCGCGTTGAGGTTCGAGGTGGAGGACTGGGTAAACGCGCGGGGGTAGAAATCGCTAGAGGGGTTGAGGATTCGTCTGATGTCAGATATTTGTAGTAAAGATCTGACTTCCTGAAATTTGGAAAATGACGACGCTCCATGTCTTCAAGGACTGCTGTTTGCGCGCGAAGGACAGCCCCACGAGCATCCTGGTACTGAGAAAGAGTGGCACGGCGTCCAGCAGCAAGGAATTTTCGTACGACCTCTCTCGTATAGTCGGGGACCTTCAACTCCGGTCGGGATAAATATCCCTCATTAATGAGGGCCAGGTCACTTCTATCGGTATCAGACCAGCTCTGGGGGTTGTTCGAGGTATCAGAAGATTCCAAGAGATCGTCTTCTAAAGGGTTTCGGAGGCCGTCAACCACGACCCAGAATTGCACAAGGCTCATTAAGCGTTGCCGGTCCATGTATTCCATGAAATATGAGCACCCAGCCGCGTCGCGTAACACTTCCACAAGTGATGCGCTTTCCAGACGAGAAGTAGTGAGAGTCTTTCTCAGACCTGGCCGAGCTGCTGGCCCAGCTGATCCCGTTCCCGCAGACAGCTGGGTTACTTTTTGATCTAACAGTCTCTTCCCAGTCTCCAGACGCCTGATATAAACCAAGTCCTGACCCTCAACCAGGGATTCGCGCTTCAGCTGGCGGGAAATCTCACTTCTGAAGCGTCGCGCATCCGATAAATTGTGACACTGCCGGATAGCCCGAATAAATTTCTCAAACTTCCGTTCGTTATCGCGAGGCGCTAATCTAGGGAAGGCAGTAGCCATCTTGGATTTGGGTGTAGGAGAAGCATGCTCATCTAGCGCGGCGCGCAGCCTCCGCACCGTTTTCCGGTCCTGCAACATAGTCCGGCCCTAATTGTCTATTAGATGGACCTTAATTATAATAGTGGAAAAGGAACTTACGTATGCTTCCATCATTTGATTCCAAGTATCTGGCTCCGACAGCATTTGCATGATTGGAAGCAGCAGTGCGCACGCGACAATTTCCCTGATCAGTACGAATACAGAACGACTTCGAATCATTTCTTCTGGCATCACTTGTGGTAAGATTGTCTCGACGACTTTTCGCAAGTGTTGTTGTTGTGCCAGCTGCGTATTTGAAAACAAGAGAGTTGCTGCCGGGTGAAGATTGCCATTTCGATACCTGGCAGCTATTGCTAGATCAAGCTCTTCAGACTCTGTCACATTCCGATTGAGATATTTGCCTCGTACAGTACGCTCCGCTTCACAAAAATCCTTGAAATGCGCCGTTATAATCGGCACGAACCGCGAGATAGCGACCTCGACAAGATCTATGGAGAAGAGTCTATCCCTGATGTTTACCAAAGCAGCACATGTGGCGCGGTCCACTTCATTTATAAAAGAGGGATCCTTGCTGATACTCCCATACCAGGAGGTGACGAAGTCGCGCAGTACCAGATCCAATAGGCTGTCAATCCCATCGGATATCACAAAGGATGATGGATATAAGGGTTTTCGTTTGTACGCGGATCTGAGCTTCAACGCTGCCACTTCTGCCGCCCATAGTTTTGAAGTGACGAACGCGACATGGGTCGTCCTGTACCTCGAGATTTTCCGCGGATATGATATTCCTCTCGAGGTGAGCAGAATTATCGCGATAAATCCGCCGATTGCTAGAGCGAAGCCAGCGACGAAAGCATGCGGAGTCCAGCGAAGTGTTGGAGCCCAGTGAACCGTGTATCCCCAAGCAATGAAGGTGACGACACCAGCGATGATGCCATCTCGACGACTCAGGATCATTGTATTCGGCGTTTCGAAAAATTTCGGCACTGCATGACGACTTTGATCGGGATTGCTCGCCGCTGGAAGTCCTTGCGCTTGTAATGTTGCCGTCTCCAGGGAGATGAGACGAGTTCACCGCCAACCTGCCATTTTAAACACCTAGATGGACAAACGATAACAACATCATTATCTTAGTCGTCGATGGATTGTCGTTTCCCGGTCTAAAGCTTCCCGGTTCTCGCTTAGATTGTTTCCTTCCCGCGACGCTTTCCTTCGGCTCCGTCTGGAGACTCCGATGGGTAACAAAATCACTTTTTATTTCTCCTCCCCTCTATTTACAAATTGATAGATTGGCCACCTCAAACATCGCATGAAGTAGGATGGAGGAGGCACAGCACCAGACAAAGCGCCAAAAGCGCGAGATCTACCGCAGTAGCCATAAAACTGAGGATGGCAGTGCAGAGCTCCCCCGCAAGAAATTCTATCGCCAACGAGCTCATGCGAATCCTTTTTCTGATCACCTTCTAGTATAGTAGGTTGCCCGGTCCCGAAATAATCACCACATTTGATGCAGAAATCAATTGGCTCATGTATTTGTTGAACCTGCAGTCCCGAATCTCCAGCATCGATGGATTGGTCAGAATACTATCCTGCCTTTGTACAATCCCAGCAAGCATCCGCCGCTGCTCCATCCGAGGAGCTCAGCTCTGGAGTCACATCTACAACCAATTCCATGACGAAGAGAGTCGAAGTAGCAGACATTGGATGCGGGTTTGGGGGTCTGTTGGTGGCTCTGGCACCGCGCATGCCTGATACGTTATTAGTTGGTATGACACTGTTCGAGATGGATTTCAGCGGCGCGCAGACCGGAGCATGCTGACTCAACGGTTGCTTTTAGGTATGGAGATTCGTACACAGGTCACGCAGTTTGTCCAAGACAGAATCAAGGCTCTGCGAAACCAGAACCCCGAGAATGGCGAATACCAAAACATCGCTTGCCTGCGAGCGAACACGATGAAGTTCCTCCCAAACTTTTTCGACAAGTCCCAACTCTCCAAAATATTTTTATGCTTTCCCGACCCGCATTTCAAAGCGAGGAAGCACAAGGCGAGAATTGTATCTACCACATTGAATTCAGAGTACGCGTATGTCATGCGACCGGGCGGGATTGTATATACAATTACGGACGTCGAAGACCTCCACAATTGGATGGTCCGGCATTTTGAGGCCCACCCTTCTTTTGAAAGATTGTCAAAGGAAGAGGAGACCGCAGATGAATGCGTTCAAGTAATGCAGGATGAAACCGAAGAAGGGAAAAAGGTGACACGGAATAATGGCAATAAATACACGGCTTGTTTCCGTAGGCTTGAGGATCCGCCGTGGCCATAGCCTCCGAATTGAAAGGGATCAGCCAGAATCACAGCAATTATACAAAAGCGGTCCGTGGATCAACCGAGGTGAGGAAAGCTTTTGCAAGCAATAAAGCAGATGGGAACAACTTCATCTCGAATATTCTCCTCTCTGCCTCTTCGGGCTGCGAAATATGACCAAAAAATTTCATTCAAAAAAAAAAAAAATTCGCTTCGCTGCATGTCATGATATTGACCCAACTCATCCAAATCCAAAACTGATATATACCGCTCCCCCTTTTGAAAGAATTCGGTCAAACATGGAGACAATATCCAAAACAAAAGAGAACAATCAAAGCAACATGAACCAAAACCGGCGCATGTACCTTGGTTGCCGGCATTGCGGAGCGTGTTAGAAGCCCGGTAAAAGCCTCCAAGAACTCCGGTCCCCTGTCCCATCGCTGACTATCGCTACATGAATTAAGAGAACAAAGGAAGGAAAATCATCTAAACTCCAGAGCTCCAAAACACCCGTGGTCCTCGACATGAGTGAGCTCAAGCTGCTGGAACCTGCCACGCCAAACGGTTAGTTATGCGAGGAAAGCGGTTAGAGGATGATAACATACTTTTCACTCTTGGCGTGAAAATAGATTCCGCTCACAGTGCCTGCTACCTGATTAAAGCAAATGTAATAAAATCCTTCGAAACTTGCTCCTGAAATAGTCCGTACGCGATGGTCCGGAACGAGGAAATACTCTTTCCATCTCATGAAGATGTTCTCCTTTTGAGCAAAATTCTTGAAAGTGAAGTCGGAGCGTCTGGCTTGTTTTGCCAATGGTCGAAAGGCAGGAAATCTCTGCCAATGTTGCATATCGACCTTTTCATTCGAACCCCATTCCGGATGCTTGGTATGGAAAGTATACTTGGTGCCGATGATTTCGCCCTCAAAATAGGTGGTCAGTGTCGGATGGTCTTCGGTGAGGCCTATTCAAAGGCGTTAGATATTGCGTCTGTGTAACACGAAGTCCTGCAAGAGCCCGACCTTGTATGCGCAAGTAGCCGCAGAGAAAGGATTCATTCATATCGACATGCTTGATCTCTACCTGTACGTCATATCGTTGACGGTCGGATTGTTGAGAGCCGTGAAACTTGCTGCCGGGACGAAGAAAAGACGACGAGGTACTCGGAATGAGCTTCCCTAACAGTGAATACTTATATACCAGGATTAACGGGGCATGGCCAAGTACTATACCCTGACGTTGGAGAATTCGGAACTCATGGAAGGCGTTGAAGACGGCGCCCCGCCAGTTGTGCCATAGGACTCCAAACTATCATCGTCCTTGGCTTCTTGAGACGTGTCGGCACCAATAGAACTAGTTGAATCTCCCGTAGAGCCATCAATAGTGGGACCATCGTCCTCAGTTTCCATTTTATTATCCAAATAAACGCGCCGAATCCGAATTCCATTGCTCGGCGAAGGATGATCCGCCTGCGGTCTTGTGTCCTGCTGAGAAGCTGTACCAGACAGCCTCTCCGTGTCGTCATGTTCGTGATTTGACCGATCGGCGGAAGGTATCCGTCGTCGACCAGCCCACGCCTCCTCAGGTGGGCAGGTTGGATGCGGTGACCGTTGCATCTGGGTATCAGACACAGGCGCGGTATGCGCCAGAACCTCACTCGGAGTCGGCATGAGCGCAAATGAAATGTTCAGCACATGAAACTTGGTGCGCTAAAGGTACAATTCCTTGACCGGGGAAAAGCAAAGGTGTAGGTTGATCAGGTCGAAGAGCTCGACGCAATGGAATTTGTGGGCATATCGGATTGACGGGTTCTCCATGCCATACATCCAGTGCTGGTTGCGCTTATCGAATTAGCGGGGGTCCCTCATTGGGGAAGGTGTGCTCGCTTGGGCTCTCTCGCCACCTTTTCCCGGTTCCTCTCCGCCTCTCGCTCCCCTCCGAGGCCTCCAGGCCTCGTCTCTGAGGCGGTGGTCGAGACGCCCGGAGAACTCACTCCACCATTTGCCTGACACCTTTACGTTTTCATCTAGGCTCGAGACCGTCACCGTTGCCCGGACGTCGACTTTGTACTTCAAGTTGATTTTAGTAATTTATCTAGAGTCATCTAAATTATGTTATTGATACAGCATTTTATGGCCGTTCATCAATTACTGACGCTTGATGACTGATAGGGACTTTGATTTGTTGACGCACGGACTCTATGACATATAGATCCAACAGTTGCTGCTAATAGTATAGGAAAAAGGGAATTTGATAGAACCCTCCTTAGTCTGCTGTTCAAAATTATACCAAGTTCAATCTCAACGGTGTCATAAAGACTTCCATCGCAAAAGCATGAGAGATTCTAGGACCATTTTGGCTGTTTTTATTTCCACTCGCAATGACAATTCTGTGTTTTCAAGCTCCGATATACTTCGAATGAAATCCATGATTAACTTTTTAAATCCGCTCAGGACACTGTAAACCCACAAAGAATTTCAATTTATCAGAGGAAAAGGAATAAAAGAAAAGTTAAAATAAGAGGCAATTCCGTCAACTCCTGCCATCGATAAAAATTCCGTTCCAAGAGCTTAGATTGGCTTGATCTACAGAAAAAGTTGTCAGTGTCAATCGCGATAGTCGGATCAGTGATTCAAACCTTGAAGTGCAAAGAAATTAATGAAAACACCAGCGCTTTGAGATCCTGAACGAGGTAGTAAAAGACGCGCAGCCCTTCAGGGTCGGCCGATTCAGTCACATCGACAAGCGATCCGATTTTCGCGGTCTGCTTTCCTTAGCCCGAGTCCCCATTGTCGCTTTCAAATATCAAATATACCTCAAATGAAATATGCTCGTTTCCCATCCGAATCTCGAGCTCTTGTCGTCCGTCTTTGTTTTTCTGGGGCCATTTGGCATCGTCCTCCCTAAGTATAATCAGCAGGCTAGCTGGAGAAGAGCGTGGAGCATGGCTGCCATTACTTCATAATTTCACTCTCCTTGATGATGCGCTTTATTTCGGCAATCACCAGGGAACTGACACACACTGTCTGGGTTTTAGCGATATTCGATGTCATCCGTTACAGAGAGACTCACTCTCTTTGCGGATCAGGGAATCATTCCGGTAGTTCGAGTTGTTGGCATATCGCGCCGAGGCGCTGCGGCCGTCGCCGAGGGCGCGGAAGTCGAATTCTATGGCAATTGTCAGCCGTAGTCTCTTCAAATTAAATATTGTCATCCTCTATTTACCTAAAAATTCATGTCCAAACCGCCCAGAATGTCCAGCGCTGGAGACAAACAGTCAGCAACTGGCAGACCTGGGCAGAGATGTTTCCTTACTAGTAGCGAACGTAGAAGGGCTCGTTTGATGCGCTCATGATGAGGGACGAGGGTTTTGACAGACAGTCAACTCGTAGAGTGACCTGTACTATGATGTTTCGTGGTTTGATAGGCTTCGGTGGGGTGTTGCTACAAGGTACGAAGTTACGACGTAGAGAACATCACGACCAAGCTAATCCTCGCTAAACATGGCACGCACTTTGGGACAAGTGTGAACTTCCCGACTCCTGGTGGAGGATCGAGACGTTGTTGTCAGGTAGCTTCAGGTCGCCAGCTGTTGAGACTCTGTTCTCTAGAAGCCAATTTGTCTCCATTCTCGCTCTGCGGACTGTCTAAAGCCGCATACTGATTACTAGCACCGATCCCTTATTCCCCTCCCAGGAGGCAGCGGAGCTATCGGACCAACCAGCTACCATACTCCGCGCGTCCTAAGGGGTCCGCTGATTCGACGATCATATTCTGAAGGACCTATATCGTTATTGTTCATAACGCAGAGGATCGAATCCTCAAATTACCTTCCACTATGGCATCATTCCTGGACCATGCGTACAGCTTGGTGCACATGGATAATGCGGCCGATCAGCCCACTGTCCAAGAGTTGAAGACCCAATTGGAGAAAGGGAACGATGAAACGAAGCTGGATACGATGAAGCGGATTCTGACCATCATGCTTAACGGCGATCCCATGCCTCAACTCCTGATGCATATTATCAGATTCGTCATGCCTTCAAAGAGCAAGTCGTTGAAGAAGCTGCTATACTTCTATTACGAAATATGTCCGAAGTTGGATGCGACTGGGAAGTTGAAGCAGGAAATGATTTTGGTCTGGTATGATCTGATGCGTCCCTTCCCAACATGCTTCAGGGTTATACTAATCAATTATATCAACAGCAACGGCATCAGAAATGACCTTCAACATCCCAACGAATACATCAGGGGTAACACCCTCCGTTTCCTTTCCAAGCTCCGGGAACCCGAATTAATCGAACCATTAATATCTTCTGCTCGAGCGTGTTTGGAACATCGCCACGCATATGTGCGGAAGAATGCAGTATTCGCCATTTCGTCTGTATACCAGCATTCAGAAGCTCTTATTCCCGATGCGCCGGAGCTCCTTCAAACATTCCTCGAAGGTGAAACAGACCACACCTGCAAACGCAATGCTTTCGCTGCATTGACAGCTATTAGCCACCAAAAAGCCTTCGAATATCTCAGCACTGTTTTTGAGGGCATCGCAAATGCAGACGAGCTCTTGCAACTTGTTGAACTTGAGTTCATCCGGAAGGATGCTGTGCAAAGCCCTCAGAACAAGGTACGCAATGGCAAAGGCTGGGAAAGACAAAGAGACCCAATACGCTGATAGTATATAGGCACGTTACCTGAGATTGATTTTCGATCTTCTTGAGGCTGGGGCCACGACTGTGGTCTACGAAGCGGCCTCGTCTTTAACTGCCCTTACGAACAATCCCGTAGCTGTTAAGGCAGCTGCCTCGAAGTTTATTGAGCTTAGCATTAAGGAAGCAGACAACAATGTCAAACTGATCGTGCTTGACCGGGTTGATCAGCTGCGGCAAAAGAATGAGGGCGTTTTGGATGATCTGACGATGGAGATTTTGCGGGTTCTCTCTAGCCCCGATATTGATGTCAGACGGAAAGCACTCTCCATCGCCCTTGAAATGGTCTCAAGCAGAAATGTTGAGGAAGTTGTCATGTTGTTGAAGAAAGAGCTCTCAAAAACAGTCGATGAGCAGTATGAGAAGGTGAGTTTTTGCGATGGCATCAAGGAAGTGAATTGAAGCTGATCAATACGAAGAACAACGAGTACAGGCAACTTCTCATCCACTCTATCCACCAATGTGCTATCAAGTTCTCCGAAGTGGCCGCCAGTGTCGTGGGTCTGCTCATGGACTTCATTGCCGACCTCAACAATACTTCTGCTGTCGATGTCATTACATTTGTGAAAGAGGTGGTCGAAAAGTTCCCCCAGCTCCGACCCTCGATTGTCGAACGCCTTGTTCAAACTCTTGGTGAAGTTCGTGCCGGAAAGGTATACAGAGGCGCGCTCTGGATTGTTGGAGAATATTCGCTTGAGGCAGACGACATTCGAGAGGCGTGGAAACGCATCCGCGCTAGCTTGGGAGAGATTCCAATTCTGGCCTCTGAACAGCGACTACTTGATGAGGCCCAGAATGAAGATGGCGAGACCAAGGAGCAACTCAACGGTCATGCCAAACCTTCTGCGCCTACTGGATCTCGCAGAGTACTTGCCGATGGCACGTACGCTTCAGAGAGTGCGTTGACTAGTGAGTCGGCTACGGCTGCAAGATTGGAAGCCGTCAAAGCGGCACAGAAGCCCCCATTAAGGCAATTGATCCTTGATGGAGATTACTTCCTTGCAACCGTGCTTTCGTCCACATTGACGAAATTGGTTATGCGGCACTCTGAGATCTCTCAGGACGCTGCGCGAACAAACGCGCTCAGGGCTGAGGCTATGCTTATTATGATCTCTATCATTCGTGTTGGTCAATCTCAATTCGTCAAAGCTCCTATCGATGAAGATTCCGTGGACAGAATCATGTCATGTATCCGCTCGCTTGCCGAGTTTGCTGAGAAGAAAGAACTTGAGACTATCTTTTTGAATGATACGAGGAAAGCATTCCGAGACATGATTCAAGTTGAGGACAAGAAACGCGCTGCTAAGGAGGCTGATGAGAGAGCCAAGAGCGCCATTCAAGTAGACGACGTATTGAATATTCGACAGCTGACCAAAAAGACAACGGTTGATGGTGCGGACGAAATTGAATTAGATCTTGAAAAAGCAACCGGGGGTGATTCTACTGTGGAGGACTTATCTTCGAAGTTGAGCAGAGTCGTTCAGCTCACCGGTTTCTCAGATGCAGTCTACGTTGAGGCCTACGTCAAAGTCCATCAATTCGATATTGTCCTTGATGTTCTTCTGGTTAACCAGACAACGGACACTCTTCAGAACTTATCGGTTGAATTCGCCACGCTAGGTGACCTGAAGGTTGTGGAGCGCCCGACCACGCAGAATCTTGGCCCGCATGATTTCCTCAATGTCCAGGCCACTATTCGAGTTTCATCCACAGATACCGGCGTCATCTTTGGAAATGTTGTCTATGATGGCCCAAGTTCGACTGAAAGCTACGTCGTCATCTTAAGCGACGTGCATGTCGATATCATGGACTATATCCAGCCGGCCACATGCACTGAGACGCAGTTCCGCACAATGTGGACTGAATTTGAATGGGAGAACAAGGTTAACATCAACTCTAAGGCTAAGTCTCTAAGAGATTTCCTGTCACAACTGATGGCATCCACCAACATGAACTGTCTCACTCCTGAAGCATCGTTGCAAGGCGACTGCCAGTTCCTGAGCGCAAATCTTTACGCCCGCAGTGTTTTTGGTAAACCAACCCCCCCCCC